TTCCCTCCCTTCCCATGGCATTTTATGATTGCAGATACCTCAATCTAATCGTCATGACCAGTTCCCACACTCCGGACAGCTCGCCTTGACTACTTTCTTCATCACTTCCTACGTCGCGGACCCGTTTTCCTCCCTACCCATAGCACCATAGGATTGTAAATACCTTAATCTAATGGTCATAAACAGTTCCCACTCTCCAGACTACTCGTATTTACTACTTCCTTCACCACTTCCTACGTCGTGGACCCGTTTACCTCCCTTCCCATAGCATTTTATGATTGCAGATACCTTAATCTAATCGTCATAAACAGTTCCAACACTCCGGACTGCTCGCCTTTACTACTTCCTTCGCTACTTCTTACGCCACAACCTTGTTTACCTCCCTTCCCATAGCATCATAGGATTGCAAATGCCCTAATCTAATGGTCATAAACAGTTCCCACACTCTGGACTGCTCGCATTTACTACTTCCTTTGCCACTTCCTACGTCACGGACCTGTTTACCTTCCTTCCCATAGCATTTTATGATTGCAGATAACTTAATCTAATGGTCATAAACAGTTCCCACACTCCAGACTGCTCACCTTTCGTACTTCCTTCACCACTTCCTACGTCGCGGACCCGTTTTCCTCCCTTCCCATAGAATTTTAGGAATGCAGATACCTAAATCTAATTGTCATAAACAGTTTCCACACTCTAGACTGCTCACCTTTAGTACTTCCTTTAGCACTTCCTACGTCACGGACCTCAAGCTAGTGTCGTCATTTGATTATATTTATGATTCATACCGTTTCTGTTCTAATATCTGTGGAATAATGCTATCAGCTATTTCTTCATCTGCTGCATTCAAAAGTCAACAGCTGATCATATGTCTTTGTTTATGTGTCAAATACTGCTTCCATAAGGATTACATTGAAACTTTGAGACCCAGTGGGGCGGATTCCTGAGAGTTATTTTTAACGCCATATAGATGTTGGCACTCACCGATATGGTATTTTTCACCATCCAAAATTTGAAAACGATTGATTCAGCCGTCTAGGAGGAGTTTGCGTATAACGAAATGCATAAAAGTCGACGTATAAGAGCTTCGCTCGCTTCGCTCGCTCCGCTCAATAACTTTTAGTTGGTGGCCAAAATATTACATAGTGTTTTTTATTGAATTGCAGACTAGTTACAGCCCAATAAATATTTATTTAGGTTTAAAATCACACCCTTAACCTGTAAAACATCACAAAATATCTCAGCAAAGATTTAATTGGTTATTCAAAGTTAACATTGTATAATAGTGGGTGATGCCAGCGGTTTTGCAGCAGCATTTCAAGGGGTCCTGATTAAAATCGCAGACCTATTCCCGTTGCGAATCACGGGCAGAGCGATTCCTATAATTTACAATAGGGTGTTACAATAGATCTACATCGTAGATTAAATACGTCCATAGTCAGATTTGCTCGTGGCGGTTATCCCTTTTGGCTGATAATTTGATCATTGAACTGATGACCTAAACATCTGTTTGGCCTTCAAAATTAAATGTTAATCTATTTCAAGTTCCAAATAATTTGATTTTAAAATCAATGTGTGGAGACAAGACCACAACCGCCCACGCCTGTTGGACATTCCCTTTCACCAGGCATAACCTCTGACCTACTTACAACATTGTTATGGTCCCAGCAGCACGTGCTGTATACAGCTGTGATTGTAAACAAAATAACGAACGGCTGGAAACCTCAAATCCACGATCATTTAAATATGGTGACGTTTATCGTGATGTATTTGAAAGGTTATTCCACATTTTTCTCCCTGTTTAGTATGAACAATGTTTGCAATTTGACACCTTCCAATTTAATTCTGCCTAAGCTGGAAACTTATGAAAGAAACCTATTATAGAGCACAGTATTTTAGTGAAAAAAATGAACAAAACATTCTGAAATAAGACAGCAAATTAATAGTAATAGAGTTATTATCAAGATAAAAAAAGATTAACCCACTGGGGTTGTCTACTTTGTTTATTTCTACTAACAGATTCGAAATTTAATATGTCTAATGATTATTTCGGGCAGAGTTGATAACGGTGACCTTGTTTGATTATCCAAACGGAAACAGACCCATATGAGTTCTGCGTATAGAGGCTATATTTTTGCACTATTTCGGTCAATTTGATCGATTGGATTTTGAGTGATAAAACTGGCATACACTTCATTTTTGTTATCGATATAATATATTTATAGTTTACCAATTCTAAGTAATAAATGTGAGCAGTGAAGAATTTATTTTAAATAACACTCCAATATCTTATAAAACTTAAATTTACGATGCACATTTATAAAATGTCCTCGCATTTACCAGGTTTATTTTTGTACTTGTGAGTTATCGTTAGTTACAGAATTGGTTAGTTTAAGCATTATTTGTTATAGTTTCATATCGTCAGTACTGTGCTCGTTGTTTATCTGTTAACAATCTACCAGTACACATCCGTACCAGTACATGATATTCCATCCTCTCCATTGTATATGGTCAATGATAGATAACAGTTATTTGACAATGAATCCGGTAACTTTCATCTCTCATTCCACGTTTTAGTCCCTTGCAACTAGTTAGCTTGTTTATTAACATCAATTGTATCTCTGCCGCCTTTGTGTGAAAGTATATCACTGTTTTCAACAATGGGAGATTCTAGGCAAAAATTACGCCCATCTTTATTTCGTCGCAAGAAGTGAGTCGAAATTGTATTTAAAAAAAAAATGAGAATTAATTGAACTAATTTAGTTAGTATTAGAGTGTTAACTATGATTTTGTCCTGTACGACCAGAATATGTTTACCAAGCAATTCTCAAATTAACTTTTATCTCGCAGATCCTTCTTGTATTAAAAATATTTATTTTTGTTCTGTAAAAGTTTATAAAAAACAAAAACATTTCGTATTGTCCTGAAATGTCATAGATGAAGAAGGGGTGAGTAATTACATTTCGTATGTTTTGGTCCAGGGAGTACATGGCTGCGTATTCTTGGATATGAGTAAAAGGATGATCGTAGAATAACTTTTGAGGCTTTGTTACAAAACTAAGAAATAATACCATGTGTTTTTGAGCTAGGACCTTTTATTAAAATGCCCAATCATCCAAGGACCGATATTTAAATATTTAGACCTAAAGCTTTAAGTGGGCTTCATACTTTGGGCCTCATAATTGTCACACAGATTATTAGTGATTGGCATGATTTGAACGCGAGACTTAAAGGACAGATGTATTGTGCTTTAACCTGACCGCTTGACTAACCATTGACCTTTGTGTGACCTGGTGATATGACTGTAGATTCTCTAGTAGTTTTACAGATTCTCTTTCTTGCCTTCCAGCTGTTCTAGGTTACTATAAATGGATAGAACGAGTATTACAAAATCCTCTCTTGACCTATAGGACACTGTCCGGTGTACATAAAAGTTCTAACCGGTTCTATTCTTGGCTTACGTCCAATGTACTTGGCCTTGGGCGGTGACCAAACGAGATCTTTCAACACTCACCACGGTCATAGCCCTTTATGGAACCCATAGATTACTTAATACGGATTAAAAATTAATCCTTAAATTAATTACACTCTTGTAATTTACTTGCATTGTTACATTGATACATTATTTTGGTAAGCCCGTTTTATTTAATTTCCTACATCGATAACATTTTAAGTAGCATTAATGATGTGTTATAATATGAAGTTATATGTTTATTATTGTGAGTTTATTTCACTTAAATGGGAGACTAAGTTCTATCATGGATGGATAAATAGTACTCCTAATAGATTTATTAGTTTATATTTATATGTTTCAAATTATTGGTTTTAATTTTTTCATGTTATTAAACCAACATTAATTACATCTAAATCAAACAGTCTAGTTGAAAACTTGTCCTTGCCCACTGGATACTACCATACTACTACACAAGTTGTGTGTTCTATGGTTCACCCTGGAACAATTTAAAAAATCCAAAACCATTCGCTATGTAATTTATGTTCTACTTTTTACGTTTTGATTCTTTTTCCTATAGACCCACTTCCAAGTCTCAGTTAAGGGAGTTGAACATGCTAAGATGCGTGATCGATGTTTTCATTCTCACGCAAGATTGTATCGTCTTGGCTGAAAACACGCGTATCAACACAGCTTACAGCTCAAAGCTCGTAAAACTCTATAATAAAACAAAGATACCGTACATCGCAAACGTATTTTACATTAGACTTAACAGTTTCAGAATTTTTTTATTTTTGCTAACTGATTTCATAATAGGTACCATCGTAGGGCCAGCCTCGATCGAAAACTGGTGTATACAACTACATCGATTAATCGATCTACAATAACTACACAGTACGAACAACACCAACATTCTGTACAAACACATTTGTCTAAAAGCCGTAAAATTATGACTGACTAAGCCAACAGTAATGTGAAAAGCTCAAATTTATATATAATATTCCCATTAAAATATTTTATTCCTTATTAAAAAAACAACGAAGCAAATTGTTAGAGTTACATTTAAGTGTGGTTTTTATTTATCAATTATCAATTATTTAAGATGGGGACGCCACTATGTGCGTTTTCAAACATGTCTGTTGTTGAAAATATACGTATAATACTTTTTAAAAGTAAAGTTTAGTCCGGATACTTGAAAAGACTTTGAAACAAATTAATATTTATAGTAAAGTAGTAGGTTCATTATTACTAATGCTATGTTTAAAATATTTGCATAAAGGTTTAAATTAGTGGCTACCAATGTCCGAAAAACTAGTCACCACTTGAGTTTAACATCAATGTATAATGGTAGTTTTATGTTGTAAACAGTGGTTAGTTTTTTTAGTTTAGCCTATGTTTAATTTTTTTACAGCGTGTGTTTAATAACCTTGAAGCATCTATTGTTTTAAAACATTTGATTGGTCAATGGATACACCCAGAATATCTCTGAAGCTCAGTACTGAATTATTTGATTACCGATGATGACTGTTTATTTTCGTCACAGGTCGGGAATGGAGGCGGGGCCACCCCCGAAGATTCTACTGGAGTTTCAGGACCTCTGCTATACTCCTGTCGGTGAGTGTCCATTTTTAATAATGTTACAAACAAAAACTGTTTCTAACGTAGATACTAACTTTATTTTGGTTTCTGAATTGGACATTCTATCTGGAAGTTGCAATTACTTCGTAGAACCTTTTATTATTGATAGAAGTAGCCATCGCTACCTTCACGTGCAAAAGCTGCAGGATAAAAATGAACGGAGTTTGAGACAGCAACAGAGTATGAAAAACATACATTAAATACCTTTTCATATACATTGATGTAAATTAATGAATTCTGTCATCCACTATATTTTTTCATCAAGCCAAATATGACGTATTGTGAGCTATAAAAATAATCTTTTGTGCCATATCAAAGTATCAAAATTACGGAGAAAGAATTAGAATGTTGGCATAAGGTGTATTCTACTATTTTTAACAGCTGGTCCATAAAGGTGGAATATCTGCTTTAGATATCCAAAAGGCAATGGTAGTGCGTATCATAGAGTTGGTTACTAAGTCCTGTTTATTTGTGTTTCTTATACTATGAGAGTTGAGGACATTGCTATAGTTTACAATAAACTGCTCATTTTGTGGCTAAAATTTATATTATGTCAGGAAACTGTATTTTACAGCTAAACATTCTGTCGGTGGCAAAGATAAATTAAAATTAAGTTATTTTGCGCTAAAAAGCTGGCCACAATTCTCAATGTGAGAATGGAAGAGTTGAAGGCTTTTAAGAGATATCCGCTTGCACTTCCTCGTAAAATCACAAAGCTATTTTTTCTAACATTTCACATAATACAGATACTGTATCGAGGATTTATTTGATATTAAACTCTGGAAAGGAATTGACACCAATGTCTATACCCGCCTCACCTCATTCTGAAATCCCTATTTAGACTCGATATTGAAATAGGAATAGACGAACACTGTAGCAGTAATTTTTGTAAACATTTGTCATACTTTTGCTTTTGATTAATGGATAGACCTAACACCAGATAGCTTAACGTATTTTTACAGTGTAGATTGATCAAGTATAATCAAGTTTCTTTACTGTAGAAAATCCATAGTTACACCATACCATACACACTGGGGCGTAGGTGCCCACATAGCACATAACATCAATTTGACGTAAAAATTAAGTAAAAGACGTCAAATTGACGTCCTGATCAAATTGTAGACGTCATATTGACGTCAAATTGTGGTAAATTTTTTTATCAAATATTTCAATGAAAAAAATTTGTTTCCTTTATTTTTAATGACGAAATATAATTTGTTAGTATGATAATCAAAACCAACTTCATAATCCAACTGGAACAAAAATTATCATCAAAATGTTTACATCATTTTGCCGTAAAAATGACGTAAAATAATTTATCAACTACACTGATCAAAAATCTGTATATAATTTAAAGTGGAAATGGAAAAAAAAACTTTTGAGACTAAATTTCTATACTAACTCGTACGAAAACCTACTTAATTGTTATACATTAATCTAAGCTATAGTTCACACATTTTACAGAGTGAAAAAGTACATAGCCTAATCAAATTGTAGAGTTCCATTGAATACAAGTGTCAAATGAGTGCTTAAAGTCGTGTAGTAAAACAACGCTATTTTCTTTAAAAGTCAAGAAAGTTTCTTTTCGGATGAACAGAATGTCATATTGTTTTAAAAAGGCATTTCATTATGGCAAGCTACATTTAAAACTTTATTTATGTACACTTTATTTATAAAGTAAATTTTTAAAAGCAGTTAGTTGACTCCATCAGTAAAACCTCTATCGATGAGCGCGTTCTGGGAATATGTACCGGTGCACCGGTGTCGCACCGGTGCAAAAAATGTGTCGTTCTGGGAGACCGGTGAGTTAACCTAGCAGACAGCTATTTCCTCTTTTTCCTCCACCGGTGCAAGATTTATGCACCGGAGAAATTATACGGTGCATAATACACCGGCGGCCTCTGATTGGTCAGTTTCTTTGACAACAGCTTGCAGCTACGGCAAGATGGCGGGTCCACCGAATAATGTTCATTAGTTTTATAGGTTATGTTGCGTAATGAGTGAAAATTTGTTCAATAAGGGGGTTATATTACGTAATAAATAATAAATAATCATTTTCAAATAATTTATTCCGCGAGAGCAAGTCTGATTGTTTGATTTAAATATTATAAAGCAAATAGTAGGTGAATGTGTAAATTATAATCCGATGTGTACCGTAAACCGGTGACTAACCGTTCTGGGATACCAAGACTCTTGCCCCGGGGCTGTACCGGTGAGTAAGTCACCGGTTAATCTGCACCGGTGCGCCGGTACATGTTCCCAGAACGCGCCCTTTGTCTTTGGTCCTTCCTTATCCATTAATAATTTTCGTTGTCATGCCTGTCTGCTGGTCTGCTCTGCTTCATATGGTGGAATGTTTAATGTTTGTTATTGTTAAGTGTTTGCGTTATTCATTTTGTGATAGCTAAAAAACCAGCCGACTTTTTCTTGAATGAATTATTTATAATTATCCAATTATTGAAAAATTAAGATAATTTATTACATTAATAACTTCATTTACCTATTATTTTGTAGTTTCAATTGTTAACAGTTTTTTTAGTCTAACTTAGCTAGTTTTACTTAAAAACAAGTGTTCAGGCCTAGAAGCAGCCTTAAAAGTTCAACCGGGAAATCCAATTTCAACAAAACTCAGGCAAGTACTAATCATTTAACCTAAGCAAATAACTTAGCTTTACCATTAATCGGTAACATTAAGCCTATTTCATATAGAATCCTGGGCCACGGCTATTTAATTCTAGGCAGAGGATACGCATTCGGCAAATAACTGTCATAACCTAACCTAACTAGCCTAAACATACTTGCTGATAGTGAAAAAATCTAATGAAGGTTAACTAAAATTCTGTTCATAAAATTAAATTATAAGTTAAATGCCTCAAATTCGAACAAAAGATGTACAGTTAAGAAGAAATGATATTCTAAGCTAAATCTTTGACAAAAAGTTAGTGCCTCCATTGGTATTGGATCTAGATAAGTTAACTCTTCTTAGTTCTTAGTTCTTGTTCATCAGCCGAGTAGGCTACTCTATCCACTACACCACTGAATATGGCTGTACGTCGTACAGTATCGTTGTGGTTATAGTGTTCCGGGCCCCCACAACCCGGTGAGGTTACTGCCGGACGATAAAATTAATCTACGTTCGGTTACTGGACGCGTATCCTCTGCGATTTAATCAATACGGTTGCAGCAAAGTAATTAGCCTAAGCTATCTTAGAAGTAGGCCTACTCTACAGTAAGTTAAGCTACTTTAGGCTTGTTTGGTATCGCAGGGGTAGGCCTAAGTTAAGTAAGTTAGGCTAGGCCCTATCTTTTGGATAAGGAGTCTAAACCTAAGAAAAGGTAATGTTCTAGCCTAACCATTATGTACTAACTTAACTTATTTTGGAAACTGAAGCAGGTTACAAGTTATTCTGTCAATCAGGACCTGCCAGTTTAGTATTTAAATCAGTAGGATAACTCAATAACTTATCAAAATAGCCAAGGTAGTCGGATGAGCCATCTACACAGAGTGTGCTAGCCTACTGTTTTAAATTCTATTTTATAGTATAATTCTTAACCACTCACACCTAAATAGGCCTATATGTGTAAACCTTTTGCATTTCGAACTAAGTTCATCTTGCCCATCATCGAAATTTGCTGGATACCGGTATTTAATATCCAATGGGATAATTAGGTTACCGGTACTTAGTAGCCTACTTAATTTCATCGGCTTTTCACTTTGTAAACATACGAACAGCTGACGTACAGTAACACTATTTATCTAATTTAACCCTGAATTGCCCACTTCGCGACTTCACTTTACTAAAAACAATAGATATAGTATAGGCAGGCCTAGTGTGATACATTGAGAACTGTAATTACATTATGTTGTTCCAAGCAAAAGCCTATCATTTTTAAAGTTACATTATTACAATCAATCGTAATTAAAACTACCTTATCTTCTTTACAGTACGGTACAGAGGCTATCATGATGAAGAACTCCAAATGCCCAGGGTCTACCGCCAACATTGTTGAAGACCTCAAAATAATTGGCTGCGGATGGCATGCTACTTGGTGTTTCTTAGCCTAACTTACTAAAAGTAAGTTTTCATAGATAAACTTTTTAACTTACATGAATTTAACTGTTTGTCGTAAAGTCTTCTAGACCTATTAAGTCTAAGACTTTTTTACCGAGACCTCAATTGAATCCAGGGTACCGGTAGTGAATCTAAATCTCTGCTCGATAAACATCCAGTGTATCAGAAATAAAATATTAGAACTGGAACTTCTGTGTGCACATAATAACCTGGATGTGCTTTGTGTAATGGAGCATTGGCTTCAACCTGATGAAGTTCAATTTTATAGTGGTATTGGGAACCTCAAGCTTGCCTCCCATTACTGTAGGACAAATTCCTATTCTGGTGGTGTTGCCCTATTTTTGAAATCTGGGCTGAATTTCACCTGCTTGGATGTAAGCAATTTTTGTGAGGATTTCGAGGGTGAGTTTGCTGCTGTATTACTACATGATTTGAATCTTATTATAGTTGCCATGTATCGTTCACCTAATGGTTCGATTGATCGTTTTTTTGAACTGCTTGAACTCTGTTTAGCTTTCTTGACTACATTTGGCCTGTCGGTGGTTATAGGTACAGACCATAATATAGACCTACTTAAGACAGGAAGGGATTCAATGGACTTTTTAAATACCCTCCGTAGTTTTGGTTTTTACAGTAGTGTTTTTGTGCCTACTAGGGATAAATCATCCATTGATTCTTTTTTAACAAATATTGACAGTTGGAACTATGTTGTTGTTGTCAGTGATGACATAATTGCTGACCATAGGCACATTTTCCTTCAGCTTAAATGTACTAGGCCTATAGCTCGGGAGGATCGGTCAAGCAATCTGACAAAATCTGTATCATTCAGATTATTTAACGAGACTAGTTTGAATGTATTTTGTGACGACATTGCGAGTCAAGTAGCAGTGTGGTTTAATGAGACTTGTGGACTCCCAGCAAATGATGCATTTAACAGTTTCTTTCAAAATTTTAAGGGTAAATTTGATTTCTATTTTCCTGTAAAACGCAAGACAGTAGCTTCACGTAACGGTGTTTGTAAGGACGGGCCTGCAAAGTGTCATGTTAGTAATTGGTACACTGATGAACTTGCTGACTTAAAAAGGCACATACTTCTTGTTCATGATATGACCAAAAGTAGACCTGGTGTTACTCCTTATCTTCGTGAATTGCGAAGAAACTATCGTCTAAAGCTACGAGAGGCGAAGCTGGCTGCAGCGGCTGATAAAATATCCAGGGCTGCGAACCCGTGTAAGGCTGCTTGGGACCTGATCAATAAACATGGAGCTGGTTCCTTGGGTGTTGATGGCAAGTTTGCTTCTGCTGAGGAATTCAACCACTTTTTTGTAGACTCAGTGGCTGATATTGTGAGCGGGATTCCTGTAAATGAGTATAATTACATAGATAGCATTCCATTGGCCCATGTAAATTTCCAGTGGAGAATGGTGAATGCCTTAGATATTGTAAATACTGTAAATAGCTTTAAATCCTCTAATAGTAAGGATATTTATGATATGTCGGCTAATTTTATGAAAAGGATTGTCATTTTGATTGCTCCAATCTTGGCCCATCTGTTTAGCTCCTGCCTTCTGCAGGGTGTTTTTCCTGATGTACTGAAAGTATCTAGAACAGTGCCAGTATACAAGAAGGGCCCTAGGGATGTAATGGAGAGTTTTAGACCGGTGTCTTTAATACCGGTGTTTGGTAAAGTATTTGAGGTGATCATGTTGAATCAGCTCTGCGACCACTTTGAGGGGAATAACCTCCTTGCCCCTATTCAACATGGTTTTCGGAGGGGAAGGTCTACAGTTACGGCTGTAGATTCTCTCCTTCAAGTAATTTTGGAAGCTTTTGAGAGCAAGTCGTCAACTGCTGTTCTTTTGTGCGATTTATCTCGTGCGTTTGACTCTGTTCCTCATGACAACTTAATTGAGAAATTTAAGAAGTATGGCATTGGGGGGAGTGCCCTCAAGGTGGTGCAGTCTTATCTAGACAATAGGTCTCAGATTGTAAGTTGGAATGGTAGCAACTCGAGTGCCATTGAGGTCAGATGTGGAGTCCCGCAGGGCTCAGTGTTAGGGCCCTTCCTTTTCATTGTTGCCATGAATGATCTGTATCATTGTGTTTCTCATGACATGTTGTTGTACGCGGATGACACTACTTTGTTTATGAACCATACTGATCCTTATATTGCATGTAATAATGTTGATGTGTTGTTTAATGCAGCCTCAGATTGGTTTTCTGGTAATAAGCTGGCACTTAATGAGGGAAAAACACAAGGCATATTGTTTAGCCTAAGCAAGAAAGTACTTGAGGGTAACACAGTAAAGTTGTTGGGTTTCACTTTGGACTCTGAACTTGGGTGGAGTGATCACATCGATGCCCTTTGCGTTAAACTTAGTAGAGTCACTCATCTGCTTAGGAGGCTCATGTGTGAAGTTCCCCTTAATTTTGTGAGACTCGCTTTTTTCTCCTTTTTCCAGTCCCACATTTTGTATGGGACAAGGCTCTGGGGTCACTCCCCTCATGTTCGGAGAATCCTGATATGGCAGAAAAAGGCAGTGCGAGTTATATGTGGGGCACACTATCTTGCACATTGCAAGCCATTGTTTGTACAGTTGCAGATTATGACAGTCATTAATGTATATATTTATCAATGTTTAATTGCCATCAAGTCTGAGGAGTCTAGCTTTGTTTTAAACAAGGAGGTACACTCACATGATACAAGAAGTTCCAATAGCATACATTTGACTAGTCATAGGCTAACATTGACTCAGAAATGTTTTCCTGTTTCAGGCATAAAATTTTTTAACAGCCTGCCTATTGAAGTACGGTCTTTGTGTACCTCTAAATTTTGTATGGTCACAAGGAAATGGTTAGTATTAAATCCTCTTTACAAAACTGAGGATTTCTTTGAGGCTATAAGGGCTAAGCCCATTTCACCTGGTTGGTTTTGCCTGTAACTGGTATGTAAGTTTGCTATTTTGTTTTGCTTGGCTTGCTGTTTTGTTTTTTATGCATGGTTTGCTGTGTGAGTTTGCATTTTGTAATTTATTATTTGGAATTGATTTTATTTATTTATTTTAGCAGTTAAGTTATTTAATGTATGAGACAATGCCTATTGTACATTTTGTATTGAACGGCAAATAAAGCTTTTGAATCTTTTTTTTTTTTGAATCTTTATTAAAAATAAGTTTGATGAAGTTACTATAGCTATAGGTAGCATATAAAAAATGAATAAGGAAATATGCCCAAGTATGAACAAATGAAATCTTAAGAGGAATCATGAAAATAAAATAAATTGTTAGGCCCATGATTTAACTTTTTACATAAAGTTAATTAACCATCATTAAACATTAACCACCAAATAATCCACCATAAACGACAACTCCAACTTTTTATTTAAGTTCATTTTTTGTAATTCTATTGAGGTTGTGTTGGTTCCGCGTTTAATTTTCAGAGGAAGCATTGCCTAATTTTCACTTCCAAATACCGACATGTATTACTACAATAATCCTTCATATTGAAATACTATTCCCTCTCAAGATACAATAATAATAACAATGAAGTAAATTTAAAATCATTTACAGGTAGGCTAATTAGCAATCATGTTGTGATTTAATTTATATTTAAGATATTTTGTTTTGTTGTGGCAATAGGGATTGTTTACTGTTCTATGGTTTGGTTGGGGTATATAATTAGCTCTTCAAAAGAGAGATTCAGAGTTGTGATTTAAGAGACGAATTAGACCTAACAGTCTTCCACCAACTTTCAGTTTCTATACCCTCTGTATGAAAGGGCTTGTGGCCCTTCTTGTAGGTTATAGTCACATCAAGTAGGCTGTTGGCTAGTACTTTAATTCACCACTAAAAGTTTGTTTAAGCTTCAATCTAACTGTAGCCTAATCGGAGCATGACCAAGATACAAGATTAAACTAGTTTTTACACTAACGACGAGATAACATTGTCACTGTTAAACGCTACTTACACATCTTAGGCTACGTCAATTATCGATAATTTATTTAGAAGGTCAACTTGGCTATTAACTCATGTTGATAAAATGTTAAATAGGCCGATTTTGATCAAATACATTTAGCCAACTTGGCTTAGTACTAGCGGTGTCTATAGTTTAGATTTGTATTAATTAATTAATTCAAGATTACGACCGTTCAGTTTAATTAGTAAATCTTTAATATGTAGTTTTAATATCCAGAGACTAGATATCACATTCCTAACCCCCCCTATTATATTGGGGATGATATAATTAGGTCTTGGGAGTACCCCAATTGGATCTACACTATGAAGAATAAGTTAGTAGGCCTAACCATTAATGTATTTACCATATCATGATCAATTCTGTGTTCATCCTAAGCAGGCCCCCGAATACTCTATATTTTTATATTACAGTATATTTTTTCCAGTTAATCATAGTACGTATGCCTTATGCCTACATTCATTTATTACCCACTTTCGTCAGATAATTTAAAAGTGTAAGACGGGTTCGTTTTATTGAATCGGTCAGGGTAGAATACTAGTCAGACCTAGACTACAGAGTCATTCTTAAAGCTAGACCAATTTTAGGGTGAATATGAGATAGCTCTCACCTAAGCGTCTGCTAGATTTCATGAGCACTTCTAGAGCTCTATAAAATCCCCTAGGGTCCTTTCGATAAAATTAAAATAACTAATCAGTTAAAAAGAGCAAAACAGCTTTTTATCGACCCCTGAATTTTATCGGCTCCTTCTGAGCGTTCCGAGGAGGGAATTTGAGTCTGGCTGGTCCTATGGGTAGGACTAGTCTTTTTTGTGAATACAATTTTGTTTGTTTTTTCTGCGTTCGTTTAAAATGGATTCTTAATTTTATGCTTGATTTTAATTTATAATCCTTGTTAGTCAAATTTCTTGAACCGTCCTAATTTTCCACTCTAATGGGTTAACAGGTAAAATTTTTGAATACGCTAAGTTCACAAACTATCAAGCAATACACATTTTGAAGTTCAGTTATCAGTCTAAAAAAAAGGCACACAAAGATCAAAATCGTAAGTCGCTGTCTATTAAAATTATTTAGAAATAACTACAAATAATACCTCATATTTTTAAATATAACTGAGGGTAAATATTTCTGAAAATGTTTTCATTTCAATAAATAAAATCAACAAATATATGCCTATAGGCTATTAATAAAAATGCCCATGTATGAGCGTTTCTCAGTAGGCTATAAAAAAATCACATGCATCGCAAATTAGCTAGCATGAAACCATGCACTTGTTTGCAAAGCCCGGCCACATCTTGTCCTAAAACTTAGAAGAGTTGGTAAATTTGACTATTTCGTCACACCACCCTCTTTTTCGTGTCTGTCCTCCTGGGTCTTTAAAACGGATAGGTGTATTTGTATATTTGGTTAGCCCCTCAAACCATTGGTAAATCAGTACCAGCCCTCTGACACGACATTTGTGTGCTGCTATCCATTTAATGATCTTTCTATAAAGAATATATTTTGTATTTCCATAATCAACCATTTTTATTTATTGCTTGTTACAGGAGGGTGCAATAGAGAAGAATTGGAGAGCGAATATGAGTTATATAAGTAGTGTGGATGTTAATGATGTACCTAGTTTTATTGTATGAATAAATATTTTTATTTGGACTCAAGGTTTTATTTTCCGGCATAATTAATTCCTATTCTATTTGTAAAAATATCATAAATTGAAAATATTTTTGTACAGCAAAATGTAAAAAGTAGGCTACATAAAAGATTCTGTATGAAATTAATAAAGCCTATCATTTCCGTTTTGTAAGATACGTTTATATTGTTATTTAAATAACCTCAGAATATAAACACCATAATTTGAAATAGATCAGAAAGAGCATAAAAATATATTTTCCACAGTTAGTTTATACCAATGTCTAACACTGCTGTTGAAAAAGTTTATACCAATGTCAAACGCTGCTATTGAAAACAAATTAAGCAAATTTAAAGTGCAGTATTTTTATAGTAGGCCTAGTTATTTTATCTGTTAGGCAGAAAATTCATCAGCTGATGCCTAGGTACAGTGTTTGTACAGTGTTTGTAAAATAGCCTAGGTTAGGTATTTATTTACATGTTTCCCTCGGCAGGGTTCCAACAGATTTTTTGCAAAAGATTTGCCAATTAGGCCATCAAGATTTTGCAGAACTATAAAATGTTTGGCACGAGAAACATTGAAAGTTAATATGAATACAATTACAGTTCTATGAAGAATTACTGATAATTTTATAAAAAAATTAGGGGAAATATTTTACATTATTTTTATGTCAATTTTACATTTTTTTGCTCAACAAAATGATGTCAATTTGATGTGAATTTGACATCATTTTGCCTAAAAAACCGAGCAATATTACGTCAAATTTACAACAAAAAGACGTCAAATGACGTAAATTTTTTTACATCATTTTTACATAAAATTTATTTTCTTTTTTACTTCATATTGACGTCATTTTGACGTCATATTGATCTTCATTGACGTCAAAATGACGTACAAAATATCATTGACGTTGACGTCTTTGACATCAATTTTACGTCAAATTGATGTACTTGTGCTATGTGGGTGGTCTTGTTAATTTTATACCCAAGTCGTAACAACTTATATAAAGGAAGCCCTCAGCTTGATAATGCTACTCACGTGTTCTGTACAGTCCGTTTCAGCTATACATAGACCTAACGTACAGTCTGGTGCATTCAATTATAAAACTTAAAAATTAATGCAAACAACCAATACGTCATACCTTTATTCCTTTTGCAAAACAACAGGATTCAAAATTAATATTTTTAACAAAACAATTGGACTTTTAAAAAAGATGTATAAGAAAATCAGTTTTTAGCAGTCAAAGATATTGGGGTTTTTAATAAATGGTTATTCATAGCACGTCAGGTTTCATATGCGATAGCGTTTAAGATTTAACAAGAAATGGATAGTTGACCGTAAACTTATAAACACACGCTTGCACCTGGGAAAAACGCTTTAAAATTTCCTACTCCTTATCCATAACGATGCATCGAAGTAACGATGATGAATGCATAAGAAAGTATGTGAAACCTAATTACGTTTTAGCACCCTGCTGTAAGATGTGTGTTAGTATAAAAGTACAATGAAATATCTAACGTAACATTCCAATTCAATTGAAGCCCTTGATAAGACATTGATTGGCCTAATTCGATCTAACATGGCTTCCTAGTCACGTGATAATGCATCGTGTTTTGTTTTCTTTCTTTGTTGTATTACTTTCATCGTAAATGCATTTTTTATCATCGAGTAGTTGATTTGAAAACGGTCATTTTGTACACCAGATTTCACAGCTCCTAAAGGTAACGTAGCTTTCCTGGAGGCGTACGTGCATTTTATATAAGTGTTATTTGATTTCTCATTGTGTGAGGTATTTTAATTTCGTATACCATCAGTATGCAATTCTGTAATACTAGTTTGGACAACACTAAATATTAATTACCGTGTTTTAAAAGATTGTGACTGCTGACTTAAGATTTGCAAGAAGGTTGACTTTGTAAGAGAAGATAAAACTTGTGATTATACTTATAAATTTAATTTACCTTTTCGAATCAAAGAAATGTGCTAGATTTTTAAGGGATACCCATCAAACCAGGTTTCGATAACGATAAGGATGACATTTTGACCAATCATTATTGGTGTATAATCCACTCCACATCAATGTTCACATTCTATACTGTTGCTTATAAAAAATAAACAGTCACACCAACAACCTTCAACAAATAAATAATAAAAAAAAAAAAACTAGGTATGCCAAACTCGTTACTAATCAATTAAATGAAACAGTGTGGTAACATAAAATATTTCCCTCACTTTTTATTTGATTGTATTTTAGAACGTAAAATACTAAAAAAAAACCTTATTTATTTGGTCACATCAGTCTAAATGACCATCGTATGAAGAATCATATGTACATTTCGTAACACCATCAAAGGCAATCAATGTTGTCCGTTCAATGCCGTTGTGTAGGTTTTTTGTAGTTTATTCATTCCTCTCACTGAACTACAATACTGATAACACCAAGAGATAACGTAAGATAACCTTAAAGAATGTATCTATAAAATTATAGTGTATATCTTCCGTATAATATATTCTACGAATACTACATCTTCTTGAGAAACGTTCATATTCTTAAACCTGTCTTTTGTACTATTTCAATGTTCAGCAGCAGTGACGCATCTTTACATTGATAAATTGTGCTGTATGTACCCTGGCTGAAGAGGACTAAGTCCTTCCTAAAACAGCCTCAGTCCAGTAGGGTTTCAGCTCTCTGGTTTGGAACATCACGAAGACCGATGCTGTACGTGTTATTATTGTGACAACAGAGAACTTATCAAACTCGCTGTCATAAAGAGTCACGTAGTAGAATGGTAGAATGTAGTGAATGACTTGGAAATGATGGCGAAACAAAGATTGTTATAGCAGCAAGCCGCTGACAAAGAAACTTTGCTCACAACATATATAAGAGTTCATATGAATCAGCTATTGAACTGAGTTATAGATCTATTGACATGTAAGAATACTCAAACTTCAAACTGTTCTAAAGTCTTTATCCTTGTTTGTGTTTGGTTTATAAATCCTATGTAGTGTGCTGATGTAGACTAAATATTTTCCTTATAGAGTAGGGTTACAGTGTTTGCTTAGTTATTTGATAATAATTTCAATGAAATGTTAACAAACAAATTGTTAGCCTATATCAAGTTGTAATCGGTTGGAAGATGGGAAAATTTAAAATAAATTAAGCAACTATAAAAATTAAACATAACTTTTCATGTCTCAGACATAAATTTTCTTCAACTAATTCTTAATGATGATAAATCCATAAGGGAGTGTTTGTGATTTTGCCAGAGCAACTACAGTATTGTTATTTATTTTACACTCGATACTTAATCACAATCAGTTTACTTTTAGCATTTATACATGTAGAATATTACAAGCACTTTTTTGGGTATGCCTCGTTGATTTTTTATAACTCGTTCTTAATTTTGTCACGTTGATTAACATGGACGACACTTTGTGTTTCAGGTCAAGATAGCAAAGAAATACTAAAAAACGTAAGTGGAAGATTCCGGCCCAACCATGTGACAGCAATTCTTGGACCCTCAGGAGCGGGGAAGTCGACACTCTTGAAAATCCTCACAGGAAACAGGTATATTAGTAAGATGTTATCACGTAATTATTCAATGATATTATTTGATACTATAAGTTCTTTCCAGATGCAAGTATGGTGGGTTGCAGCCTCTGACCAAAACATGGGTGGCGGTTGTCAGGGTGGCCTTTTGAGGGCTGTTTCCATGCGATTCTCGCAAAACTTATAAAAAACATAATATGTTTGCAAAACTAGTTGTTTTGTTGCAAATGTGTAATTCCCTCAGGGCTCTGTCTCCTGGGCTAAAAGTTAATGTTTTGTGTTTTGTAGTTTTCAAAATTATTTTCACTTACTTGATTGCCCAAACGATTTATACGCAGCAGATAGAATATTTTATAAAATTATACGTACCGGTAGTGAAATGAGATTATTTACTGTACAATGGTGTCATTATAAATAGAACTTTTGGGAAATTATATAGTTATAGAGAATACTACTAGCAGCTTTAAATTTGTCATTCAAATTTTATAATGTTATGCTCATAGCACGATTTTGCAAATTATAGAGGAAGCTAGTGTAGAACCTACACTTTCAAACAAACTACCTCCTAGTTCTAGCTCTAGTTTGGTTGGTTAAAATAGTTTAATGAGTGGTTTCCTCTATTTAGTGACAAAGGTGAAAGGTCAATAGCACTAAACACCAGAACTAGAACTAATGACAGTTGATTTATTAACATTATATTTAGAAATAAGACATTACTGGTACCAATTATGAACATAAGTAGTTGAACTCCGGTGTGATAATTGCTTACATCAAAATTGGTTGTTTTAATATACTAAATGCATATATGTTTTAAAACACAGTGAATTATTTTGATTAAAGTATTCTCTTACTCTGTGGTTCTATCCCCTTAACAATCTATTTCCCCCCTACAACAGTTTTTAGAGTTGAAGCAGATAACATTAAAAAGAAAATTAACAGAATCAAGAACATTTCTCCTGTATGAGAGATGAGTTTTAAAACCTAATTGAATCATACAATATTGTAGAGATTTTTTCAAATTTCAAACCTAGCTGGAGTAGATCAGACGGGGTGAGGACTCACAAAACAGCCATATTTTAACCTTAGCTGCTATATTTGCTGCATTGTGAAATTGAGAATTGTGTTAATTAATTGTTGTAAGTTTTGAACAAATGCGGGTTTACAGGTCAGCTGGAGTGAAGGGACGAATCACAGTCAATGGCCAGCCAATGATTCGCTCCCAGTTCCGCAAACTGTGCTGTTACATCGCACAAGACTTTGCGATGTTGGGTCTACTCACAGTCAGGGAGACTCTACAAGTTGCTGCCAACTTTAAACTTCCTGGCAATATATCCAGCTCCAAGAGGAAAGCTTTGGTTTGTAACACAATTTTCAAGAGTCAAGTGTCTGAACATGTTAGTTTACTTTAGCACTTTTCATAGCCAATTGCAAAATATACATTGCATGCAAATTAAATTATTCTTGAAGAACAATCGCTTATGCACTATGGTTTTTCACAAAGTAAACTTATATACTTATGTGATCTAATATAGTGCTATATTAAACCTCTTTCTTTCAGAAGTTTACCCTACATGGTAAGTTTCTGAGTGAATGCGAGAGACATATATGTACATTTTTATAAATTTGTATAATCCAAAATTCATTTCTCATCACATAAAGTTTAATCACACACAGTTAAATATAAAAAGAACTTTATTAAATAACTTTACATCTAAAATGAATTTCTTTGGGTATTCGATAATATAGTGTAGATAGTTTTTCAACCAGTATTTTACAGAATTGACTTGAATATGCTTCTTCTTACAAATTGCTTTTAGACCCTTATACAGACGTCCATCATGGATATAGCAATTTTTTTAAGAACATTCAATCTTCGTTGAAATCTATTTAACTAATTCTCTGTGTTTGTGCACCTTTCAGAAATTAATCTTTCTATATTACACTGTTCATCCCCATTTTGTTCAAGTATTGCCATTAGCCCCAGTCCCAGTTAGATCTCTAGTTTATCTCTAGTTAGAGATATGTTGTTTTGTCCCCACCAACAATTTCTTTCTATTCTTTTCCATTCCCTGTTTTTTTTTTCTATTGCTCTCCCTAGTCTGGTGACCTGATGATCTTCCTTGGTCTCTTCTTTAAGAGACCTTGTGTTACTCCATGGAAAAAACTTTTATGGGTTGTTGAATTTTCTGTCAACCACTTACAGCCCTAGTCTCAAATATAATTTAAGTACCTCTTGGGTTTTCAATAGCCACAGAAGATAAGACAGAGAAAGCTACACCATGTTTTCTATTTAAAAACTACTTATTTTTCAAATTAACTGTTCTAAAAAAAGAATCGGCTGTAAAAAAGGACCTTTAAAAATATATTGTGTGCTGTGCTGTTTCTGCTTGAACGTAAGTCAGCAATTGTCCCTAAAATAATTCCATGAGGATAACACTTTGTCTCATGTCTGTGATCTATGTTTATTTGATGTAGAGTTGAAACAATTAGTCCAGTCGTGCAGCCTAGCTACTGTGCCTGTAAGTTAGTTGTAAGGGAGAATTTTTTGTTATATTCTAAAAACATCTGGTGAGTGTGAATCAACAACAATTTTATTCTAATGCTTCCTGACCAAGTCATAATTTCTCGGCTTCTTTTGATGGATCCAAACTATTTGTCCCAGTAAGTTACTTTTACTCATACTCAATCTTAAAACCAACAATTTTGTAAGGAAACGTTTGTTCCAAGATAGAAGAGAAGGTGGCCGAAGTGTTGGACACCCTCGGACTGTCACCTCAGGCAGAGACGCAAGTGCAACACTTGTCTGGCGGAGAGAAGAAGAGACTGTCTATTGGGGTGGAGCTCATCACCAACCCTCCTGTCATGTTCTTCGACGAACCAACCAGGTCAGAACTAAGAATAAGTTCGTTCTGTAACTAGAATATAGTGCTACACTGTTATGTTGGCTCACTAATTGTTGTTGTCTACACGTGTAGCATGGAAGAAACTCAAATTTAAGAGAAAGAGGTACGAATCCCTAAAATTTACATGAATAAGACAGGGATTAAACCAGTATACGCTAAACAGTAGGTGAGCAACACACCCAAAATCCTACTTGGCTAGGATTTTGGATAGGATATAAATGATATATATTTATATATGTGTCCGTTAGCGCAAAAATTATATGTTATGTTAACTTGAGCAAAAATTATCTGATTTTGATGAAATTTGGTACAAACGAGTAAACCTACATTTATTCAAACGAGTTCGCGATCCAGCATAATCGGACCATGGGAACAGTGGCTTATGGGGGTTTTACGGGTTAAAAATGAGTTTTTCCCATTTTTTTCCCTAAAAACAAAAGATTTTGCAATTTCTTTCTCAACCATTTTGTAGAACTTAAAAAAAGAAATAATTTAGTATATTGAAGCGCTGTTGTATGCCTAACGGTCATGGAGAAAATTTTAAAAAAGTGTAATTTAAAATTCCCATATTATTCTTATGGAGAAAATGAAAACTGTTGTAGTTTACTTGTTTATGGATATGAATAAATGAATAAATGAATGAATAAATGAATTTATTTCCCATAATACAAAACACTTTACAAACATAATAATTGTTGAGGGTCACTTTTTCAAGTAGTGTGGCCAGTTAAAAGGTTAATCTATACTATTATATATAAATCTAATGGTGTCTGTCTGTATGTGTATTACTAATAGGAGCAAAAACTACTGAACCAACTGGGCTTAAATTTTACAAAAATATAGCTGCCATACCAAGGACCATTATAGGACTATTCACATTTAGATACTGACCGTAGGCTTTGCCCCTTTGGCTTTAAAAGTTCTGAGGTGGACATTTTAAAAGTAAATATTGATTGGTCTCCATGGCTGCGATGAGAACACTAACAATGTTTGTTTACATTTGCTTTGACATTTAAATATAAACAAGAAGAACTGCTAAACTGCATATTTCACAATTTCAGACAGCTGATACAAAGAAATTAATATAATATTTTCCATAACTATGAGGTAGGTTTATTATAATCTAACCTTTTATCATCGATTATTTATTCTAAAACTATGTCAATGATAATGGAAAAGATTCTATAACCGTTGCTGTATCAACTCCGGCTCTGCTTTGGATTGAAGTGTCTAAGTTATGAAAATAATGTTATTGATTGGGGGAACTATTATAAGCAACAGATGTAAAGATTAAAATGTCTCTATGTTGTGTCCTCTTCCCGCTGCAAAGCACGGGTACAACATCTAGTCATATATAATAAATAATAAATTGTTGAGCCTAGCATCAGATGACAAATATTTTATCCGCCTGCTGTAACATCTGGGCAAAACTTAGACTAAGAAAGTGTTAACAAAATACACATAAAATAAGGTAACAGTAACATAATCTTATACCAAAGAGTTGGCAAGATAACCTACATCCTGTTGAGAACTAAGCCAAGTGATTGTTCTTTTACAAAAGTGTTTGAAATTTGTTGTATTTTTAATATGAAGCGGAAGCTGATTGTAAAATTTTGGACCCAAGTATTGAAATGAATGTCTGAAAAAAGTTTTGTTTACTTTGGGTAATTTGATAGATTTATTTGCAAAACTTCTTGTACTGTAAGGATGATTTGGAATTATGTTTTCTCTGTTTCCGCTCCGGATGAAGAACAATCTCAGGACTTTAAAAATAAAAAGATGTTGAACTGGTAGAATGCATAACTGTTGGTATAATGGAAAAGAGCTAGTTCGTTTAGGTTTTTTGAGAATTATTCGCAAGAAAAATTTTGAGTTGTTCTAATCTTTTCTAATAATGTTTTGTAAGTACCTCCCCAGCAAGGCAAGGCATATTGTAATCTTGAATTTATCAATGCAAAATAAAGTGTTCGTAAAAGTGAAGTGTTACAAAAATTTCGTAGAAAATAGAATTTTCTAATTTGTGATCTTAATTTTGAGTGTAGTTCTAAAATATGGTGTTCAAAAGTTAGTTTTTCATCAAGCAAAACTCCCAAGTATTTAATCGATTTAACTTTTTCTAATGGTTGGCAGGTACATAAGTGGATATTGCAGGTAGGGGAATGAAAAATTAAAGGAGAAGGGGTGTCAAAACCAAAGAAGTCAAAATTAACATATTTTGTCTTACTAACATTTACTTGCATTTTGTTTATGGAGCACCATTTTCTGAGTAATAAAAGATCGTAGTTGATTGAATCTGAAAGGAGAACAGTATCATTTTGAGTGTAAAAAAGAGCAATATCGTCTGCAAAAGCATTTATATTTCCTTTAAAATCAAGTTGAAGAAGATCGTTAATGAATATTAGGAACAGGGTTGCAGAGGTCGTTGACCCTTGGGGAACACCCGTCTGAACAATGAGTGAATCGCTAATGTTGTTGTTGATTTTAACTTGCTGCTTTCTTCCTGTAATAAAACTACAAAACCAATTTAAAGCTATGCCTCTAATTCCTGCAGCCTCTAGCTTATTGATAAGAATCTCATGGTTGACCATGTCGAACGCTTTTTTGAAATCTACGAAGAGACCTGTGGTTTTTTTATTTGAATTAAAGCCATTAAATATTAACTCTGTCACAGTTAATAATGCACTTTCCGTTGATCTGCCTTTTATAAATCCAAACTGCTTATGGCTAAAAAAATGTAATTTGTTCAGAAAATTTGTCAATCTTAATAACATTAATTTTTCAATCAATTTAGAAAAAACAGAAAGAAGGCTAATTGGTCTGAGGTTATCTAATCGTAATGAATTTGGTTTTTTCAATATAGGAACAACTGAACTTAGCTTTAAACTTTCTGGGAAAACACCTTTAACAAAACTATTATTTATTATGTGGACCAAAACGGGCGCAATGTCATCAATTATATGTTTCAATAAACTTACATTAATCTGGTCAAAACCTGTCGATTTTTTGTTTTTCATACTATAGTCAACTGTCTTTACTTCATCAACTGTGGTAGGAACTATGAAGAAGGAATCATTGTAGACATGAGTAGGAAGTGGTTCGGTAGGTAGGGATTGTACCTTGTATATATATTGATACAATTTGGCAAATTTATTTATTTCATCCTATACTATTGACATATGGTCAAAAAACACTTTTTACCTTCCCCGTAGCAGCAAACCTAAGCACTTGTTAAATCTAATGTTATTTAAATTGGGAATAAATATGTCTTATTTATGGAAATATTTTAGTAAAAATGTAATCGGACAAGTTGAAATTCGCTTAGTCTGCCGGTTTGCTGCGGCGGGGGTATTTTATAGTCTACTGTATTTCATTCACCTACTTACATCTGTTGCAGTGGACTAGATAGTACTGCCTCACTGATGGTTATGGATCATCTCAAGTCATTGGCACAACGAGGCATCACTGTGGTTGTAGTGATTCACCAGCCCAGCTCTAGATGCTTCCAGAAGGTGGACGATGTCTTCCTGCTGTCTAGGTATAAGAATTGTTGAAATTCACGCTGAAATCCCGTAAATCCAAACTAATTGAGACCAGACCCTGTCCTGATTGACAGAAACGCAACAAAAATGCAATTCCATACAATAGTTGTCTGGTAAATATGACTGTTATTCGTTTTAAAATAACTCCTGTAATACTTTGCAATTGCTCGAATTCGAGCAACATGTACACTAGTTATTAATATTTCAGATCACACAGTAATGATTTTAAATTTAAATAAATAAAATACATTTTTCCCAACGGATTGGCCGGATTAGCTGGACTTTAATAGCACTTTAATAGCAAATCTTTTGTTCTGGAGACCTTGTTAAAGGGATAATAGGTGATTTTACCATGACCCTTTCCTTAAGCTATATATTTGGTAGTCCAACTCAACTATCTATGCAACCAGAAAGAATATGACTCTCAGGCAGAAGAAGTAATTGGGTATATCCCACCTCAAAAAAACAATACAATCTTGTGTAATACATGGTGATCTGAAAAAATTCCTTGATGTGCGTAACTCAAATCATGAGACTCTCAACAGTTATTAATTATTTATTGTAGGGTAAGCAATACTTAGATAGAAATATAGCGAATGGAAACTATTCGTAAATACTAATAACGCAATCAACTCCAAAATATACGACAACAACATAAAAAAAACACATAATTTTCAACTTAGAGAAACTTATATTAACATTACCTGTATTAAGTAGCTGAATTCTTAAAATATTGCGCTTTCACTATATGCTAGGGGAAAATTTGCAACTAAAATAATTTCTTATTGTATTGCTTTTTACAGAGGACAGTGCCTTTACAATGGTCCTGCCTGCAACATGGTAGAGACATTTGCAGCTTTAGGTCATGAGTGCCCCCCCTACTTCAACATTGCTGAATTTGGTGAGTATCTTTTTTGACTTTATAGTTTTTACACAATTTGTCTTGGGTTTTCTTTCTTCTATTTTAGAGTAATATTGAAAAAGATTGAGATAGTAAAAACGAAATTAATATCAGTTCCAGGTATTAGAAAATTTCAATGTTTAATGCTGACATCAATATTACTCTGGAATTCTATAAATTATACTGGCTTTTTTATATGAAGCTACAACCATTTAGATATTTTTTATTGTTGTATTAAGTATGTTCTTTTAGTCATATGATTTATTTGTGTTTAAATATCTTTTGTTGACAGATGTTTTTTTGAAAACATGTTTTGGGTAAACATTGGTTTAGTTGGAAATAGAGTTTGTTGAAACAAGATGTGTGTTTAATATTCTTGTATTAGAAATAGAACATGGTGGCAGCTTAGTGGATTTTTATCGAACTGAAAGTCTAAAACCACGCATAATGTCAAGTAAGGGCAGAAAAAAACGAAATACTCGGAGGCACAGGTATGAGGATAACGGTGAGGACGACGCCCAAAGTGAACTCAACTACGTTTCAGAAAGGGACTCTAGAAAGACTAAAGATGAGTCACGAGGTTTTGCATTGGGACATACGAACCGAGAAAATGATGCAGCTATGTATACTCCTACTCCAATGGTCAATATCACGTTACCAACTCCAGAAACGTTCTCTTTTACTCCGAATGAGTGGCATTCCTGGAGGAATCGCTTTCAAAGGTACAGACGGGGTTGCGGTCTGGATAGCACTTCCGACACTCGGCAAATCGATGTACTTTTGTTTGTAATGGGTAGTAGAAGTGAAGATATTTTCGATTCGTTTTCACCAAAACCTAATACTTATGACGAGGCTCTTAGGGCCTTTGATGAATACTTTGTGCCAAGACGGAATATAATTTATGAAAGATCAAAATTTTTGAGACACAAGCAAGGGAGTGATCCATCTGAAAAATTTATAACAGATTTGCATGGCCTTGCGAAAACGTGTGCATGGGGTGAACTAAATGATGAGATGATGCTTCTCGTCCTCATTATTGGTATGCAAGATGAGGGTCTGAGTGATAGACTCCAGCTGGAATCTCAATTGACTCTGGAGAAAGCAATTAATACCTTGCGCCAACATGAGGAGCTAGAACGCCAAAAACGTGAACTTGCCAATACTAATGTTTTTTTGGTAAATAAAACGTCAGTTCAAAACGGTAGACCGAATCGGACAGAAGGAGTTTGTGACCAGAAATACATCGAGGATGCAGAAAATACAAAGAAGTGCAGGAAATGTGGTTATGATTGGCACGGATCACTGGCAGAATGTCCTGCTAGGAAAGCCAAATGTGACAAATGTTCCGAGATTGGACATTTTTTTCGATGCTGTCCCTACCGCGAAAAGTGGATGAGAAAAAACAAAAACGTTGTTAAAGAAATCGAACAGCAAGTTTCAGACTGTGGAGATCTACAGGTTCCTGAGATTTTCATCGGGAATATAGAAAACAATGACAGAGCCTGGGCCCAGGAGGTAAAAGCAAGCTGTGGAAACCAAGTGTTAGGGCTTATAAAATTTAAACTTGACACAGCCGCTGATGTAACCATTCCAGTAGGAGTTCTTGGCGATTTTATTAAGACTCTGCCTCTAGGAAAGTGCAAATCCCCTGTGTACAGTGCAAAGAAGAAAGAACGAATCAATATTTTGGGAACTTTAAGGCTGAAGCTTGAACATAAGGGTGTATCAATTTATGATCATGCGTATATTTCTGAGGATATCACTGTTCCACTTCTTAGCAGACGTTCCTGTGAAGAGCTGAACCTGGTGAAGAGGATCTTTTCTGTAGATTCATCAGATATTGACTGGGTTACTAAGTACCCTAATTTATTTCAAGGATTGGGAAATATGAAAGGAGAGTACAAGATAGAAATGAAGGAGAATGCAGTTCCTTATGCTATATCTACCCCCAGGGTTGTACCAATACCTTTAAAAAGCAAGGTGAAAGAGCAGTTAGAGAATATGCTTGAAAAAGGAGTGATTGTCCCAGTTGAACACGCGACTGATTGGTGCGCACCAATGGTAGTTTGCGCAAAAAAAGAGAGGTGGGGTTACGATCTGCGTGGACCTATCCAAACTCAACAACAGTGTGAAACGTCGGTTTTATCCCATTCCAAAGATTGAACTTTCATTGTCCCAGATCGCGGGAGCCAAGTACTTCAGCAAGATCGATGCGAATTCCGGGTTCTGGCAACTGAACCTTGCAGAGGAGTCTCAAGATTACACAACATTTATCACCCCTTTCGGGAGGTATAAATTCTGTAAGGTACCTTTTGGAATTACATCTGCTCATGAAGAGTTTCAGCGCCGTATGTCAAAAGCTTTAGAAGGGGCAAAGAACTGTTTAGTGCACATTGATGACTGTTTGATATGGGGAAGAACGAAAGAGGAACACGACGAGTGTCTTAGAGCCGTTCTAGAGAGAGTGCGAGCTAATGGAATCGCTTTGAATAAGCAGAAGTCTGAGTTCTGCAAGAAGACTGTGACATTTTTGGGGTTTGTGCTGTCTAAGGAAGGAATCAAGCCTGATCCAAGCAAGGTACAAGCAGTTGTGGACTTACCAGCCCCAAGTAATGCTAATGAAGTCCAGAGATTCATGGGCATGATCACTTTTCTGGCTAAATTCATTCCGAACTGCAGTGAGGTTATAGAGCCAATTACGAGCTTGTTAAAGACTAAAAAAGATTTCTTTTGGGGACCAACTCAGGAAAAAGCTTTTGTCACAGTGAAACAGATTTTATCATCAGAGCCATGTTTAACAGTTTACGATCCGGAAAAGCCCTCGATTCTTTCTTGTGATGCTTCAAAAAAAGGTCTTGGAGCGGTTTTACTACAAGTTGAAGGAGAAAACAAGAAACCTGTGGCATATATATCTCGGACTCTAATGCCTGTTGAAGAAAACTACAGTAACATTGAGAGAGAAGCGCTTGCGTGCACTTGGGCAAGTGACCGTTTAAAATGTTTCCTGATGGGTAAAATGTACACAATTGAGAGCGACCACAAACCGCTTGTCTCAATTTTCAAAAGACAAAATTTGGAAGAGCTCTCACCGAGGCTACAGCGATTCCGAATGCGTATGATGAGATACGATTATCGCATGACCTGGACCCCAAGAAAAGACCTTGCCATAGCAGATCTGCTATCGAGATGTCCTATTCCGGCTAATGAAGATGGCGAATTGACAGAAGAAGTGGAAGCCTTCGTCCATGAAATCAGTATGATTAGAATAAACACTACAGACGAAAATGTGACAAAAGTACTTCACTCACAAATGAGGGATCCAATATGTGCACAACTCAAGCTAAACATTTTAGACGAATGGCCTGGAAAATCAAGTTTACCTAATGAGATTCAAGAATACTTTAACGTGAAAGACGAGTTAAGTTGTATTGATGGGTTATTGCTTCGAGGAACTCGGATGATAATACCTCATGAACTACGAGCGGAAATGCTTGAGAGGCTTCACAGTGGGCACTTGGGAATCACAAAAACAAGGAAACGTGCTTTGGAAACCATGTGGTGGCCTGGAATTTCTCAAGAAATAGAAAGAAAAATAAGAGACAATCTTCCATATACTTTGGTTGGAAATCCTGTTGAAAATAAAGACTTTTTTGAGAGGGAGAATAAGTACCAGTCGAAGTATAAGATGCAATTTGATAAACGACATGGAACGAGGGGTTTAAGTGAATTAGAAGAGGGAAGCATGGTATGGATCACAGATCTACGTAGACATGGTAAAGTAGTCAGGAAATTGAACGAACCACGTTCCTACCTTGTGGACATTGACAAGAAAACCATTCGACGAAACCAGAAGTTCTTAGTTCCTGCACCATACTACGGAGAAGATTGCATTCTTTCAAACTGTTCATCTACGGCCCTTAATTGTCCATCAAACTCACGTGATCATCCAGACGCTGGCACAGTTACCCATTACGGAAGGTCCATCAAGATACCGAGGCGGTACCGAGCTTCATGAAGATGTAGACATCTTGAGGCGGGATGTTGTATTAAGTATGTTCTTTTAGTCATATGATTTATTTGTGTTTAAATATCTTTTGTTGACAGATGTTTTTTTGAAAACATGTTTTGGGTAAACATTGGTTTAGTTGGAAATAGAGTTTGTTGAAACAAGATGTGTGTTTAATATTCTTGTATTAGAAATAGAACATTTATATTAGTGTATACTATATCACTCTCCCAAATTATGTTCATATAGCGGTGGAGGTTGCATCCAAGGCAGAAGAAGAAGTCAACCAAGTGGTGGAGAGAGCAAGACTTGATTTTACTAGTCATGACAGTGACTTCTTCAAATACAAACCATTGAAAAATGGAAGTGAAGACTTATCAAGTGAAAGAAGTAAGTTGATTTATTGTTTTGTTACCTGTAAATGCAGAAATACAAGTGGACTGTGTGTACGGGTTTAAGTTTTCTTTTCTGAGCTCATCCCTTAAATTCCTAGGAAGGGGCTGGTTTAATATTTTACTAACGGGTGATTACGGTAATCTACTTTGCATAGGCCCTACTTGAGAATAAGGGGGAACAGTTATTCTTCTTCCATATAAGACGAAAGTAAAGATATTCTTCTTTCATGGGAAGGAAGAGCATTATTTACTTTTCATTATGATAAAGAAGTACAGCATTCATACCTCCCTGTACCTCATTTGTATTTTTAGTTGCATGCATTGCTTTGCATGTTTTTGAGATCCTGCATGTGTTTTTTTTTCAGCTTTTAATTTAATTTTGTCAGTCAAGAATGCTAGAAGAAGCTTGGCATGTTATTTATTATTTATTGTGTTGTTGACGTAGCCTATTGTCCTGTATATGAACTGAATGGCCAAATAAATCATTTGAATCCCCTATGATAAGGTCCTCTATGAGAAGGAAGCGTTATTCTCTCTCCCATCATAATAAATATCAGCTCTGCTGTTTTATTCAATGCTATAGAGAAGGATTTTGTATACAGTGATTGAGAAGCAGACGTTGGTTGCAACCAATAAAATTCAAGGGTGTTTTATTTAATATTTTTAGCATTTTATATCCTACTAAAATAAGAGAAAGTACAATAAAACACAAAATGATGGCCTGCGGCCAACGATTTCCTGTTGACGTTCTAAAAGTAGTGGTGTTTTCAATAGTCTTGCAATAACGGCTGTTATTAGCATACATTCAGCAATCTGACATTTTCAATAGCCCGGCCTACCAAAGTCCTGGAAACATCTACTGCAGCAATAAACTGTTCATTTATTAAGTTTTATTGTAACCATAACATCAAAAGCTTTAACTCAGTCTTTTCTTAGGTCCAATGCTGATATGTGAAGATAAGGATTACAAGATCCAAATCCAACGGTCTGGCTCTTCCAGTAATCAACCAGACTATCCAATATCATCTTTTGCTCAGTTCTGCATTCTTCTTAGAAGATGTACGCTGTGCATCAATCGGGACATGGTATGTGTTTCTGAATTTACAAAGGAATTACTGAATTTGACTTATATGACCTAGATGATGGGAAAAGACTTTCTTAAAAGCAGTGTAATGAATACAAGGCTTTTTATATGATTTAAACACTTTTTTTGGGTAAATTTCAAACAAAAGATAAGATAAACACAACTGGCTATTTTTTGTATATATTACTAAGCCCATAAGCATGCCATTCAAATCGGATTTTAATATTTTTACAAATAACTAATATTTAGCCTACTTAAAAAATTTTGTTCTGAAACAATTTAAGTGGAATAATGTTTTAGACATTTAAATTTATTATTGCAGCCTGATAAGTAGGGGAGACTGTTGTACCTTGGATCACTTTTCACATTTTATTTTTTTAAAAAGGTTGGTTAAGAGATATAACAACAGAAACAGTTCCATAATGAAGAACCGGCATTCCTGTAAATTATATATTTATTTGATAATTTTATTGCTAAACAGTTTTGAATAAAACATATATTTATAGTTAACTGATTAGTGATCAATGGTACAAGACCATCATGTACCATTGATCACAGCCTAGTGTACCTTGGATCATTGACGTTGTGTACCTTATGAGGTAAATAAATTAGGTTAAAGACATGTTTATGCAAAGAAAAGTGTCAGTAATTATTTTAGTAGAAATAAAACTAGACATACAAATATATTAAACCTGCTTTTTGTAAAAAATTACATTTCAAGTTGGTTCGATTTTAAGTTACAGTTCATTTAACGTACAAGACCATCATGTACCATTGATCACAGCCTAGTGTACCTTGGATCATTGACGTTGTGTACCTTATGAGGTAAATAAATTAGGTTAAAGACATGTTTATGCAAAGAAAAGTGTCAGTAATTATTTTAGTAGAAATAAAACTAGACATACAAATATATTAAACCTGCTTTTTGTAAAAAATTACATTTCAAGTTGGTTCGATTTTAAGTTACAGTTCATTTAACGTTAAAGTTGGAAAAGTCAACCTGAAACCACAACGGTCCTTCAGTTCTAGTTGAACCACTTAATTCTACTGGGTTTGGCAGTTTCGCTAAAATATCTTCTGCAACTACATCAAACACCTCAGCGGATTCAGTGATCAATGGTACACGACGTTGTTTTGATCCAAGGTACAGATGGTGCTCATTTCAAGTCTTAGCCTCGTGTACTTTCTAGGTTATGTTCAAGTGAAATATGACATATCAAAATACTCATGACTAAGTTGTGATTCTGCAGGACTATGATTTTAAAGTCTTCTCAACTCATAACTGGAGATAAAAAATAAGTTTTGGAAACAAAAGTTACTACTTTTAGCACTAGAAAACTAATTTTATGTCTCACTTCAAAACAACACCACTTTAGCAACCAAACTCAGGCACCTGCTGCACTCTAGTGGGTGATCATTGAACTACTATAGTTATTAGGGCACAGATGGTAGCACCTGTCAATAAACTGAAGGGTGATCCAAGGTACACTATTATCAAGGTACAACAGTCTCCCCTACATATAAAATGTTTTAATTTTTTTATACTACACTTGATTTAGATGCAATTTAGCTGCACCAAAATGAGTGGAAATATTGTACCCTCTTCCTTTATAAAAAAATTACTTCCGAAGTCAGTTCAGTCTTAGTTATCCTTCAAACTCAAAAGCTCACGCATTAAAAGTTTACATTAAGAATGCAATGCTCAGTAATTTTGTTCTTTATTGATATTTATTACTAAGTCAAATTATTATTATTTTCAGCATCTTTGTGGAGTACGTCTCTTCAGCCATACATTTGTCTCTCTATTATTAGGGATATTATTTTACAATTTTGGTAACGATGCTACCAAAGTTTTAGGAAATTTCTCCTTCATTTTCTTCAATGTGATATTTATCTTCTTCGCTACGTCTATGCCAACAATATGCACATGTAAGTGATTACTTAATTATATTTACACTTGTTGCAATTATTTTTTTGTAAATTTTTGTAACGGAGTAGTTTTCAAAATTTACTCATAAAGAGTATCTGTAGATACAATTTTTGCAGTTAACAATGAATGAACATTTAGTTATCTTAAAATCTTACAATAATATTTTTAGGAAGAAAATTTAAAAATGGGTAAAAGTTGAAAGGGCACTTATATGGATTTACTATGACATGAACAATATTGTTTTGTGCCCACATCTTTGTTAGCCATTATTTTGATAGCATACATTATACCCTACATTTTTCTTGCAACCCTCACTGCAATAAACATGCATTACACGGACATGAAAAGTACAGTAGGGTAGGGTACTTATTTTAGCAAGTGTTTATCTGTTTTGAAGTACTGTGTGCTGGCCATAAAAAGAATTTATTAAAAAGCAATTTATAAAAAACTGTTTTTATGATTATGGTGTTATCTGGTTTGGTTACTGTCTACAGTCTATCTTGAGCTCTCATCCACCATTTTCATTAAAATATAGCAAATGGCTTTAACATAAATTGTAATTTTTATTTCAGTTCCTCTTGAAGCTGATGTATTTCTCAGAGAGGAGTCCAACAACTGGTATCCCATCAGGGTTTACTATTTCGCCAAGGTTTTAGCTGATGTTCCTCTGCAGGTTAGTTGTAAAAATACTGTTTAAACTATATGTTAACTACAATATTTTATTTTCATGTTTTTAAATATATATATTTATTAAATTCTAAAAGCGATCAGATACCTGGAGGACTAGAAAAACAAAAGGCCCAATTTGTGTAATTCTGTTAGGTCTATTTGTAATACTTTGATACTTTACAGTAAGGTTGTATCCACAGATAATCTGCCCGACGATATTTGTGAGTGTGGGTTGGTACCTGACGGGTCAGCCGCTGGTGCTGTATCGCTTCGGAATGCTGTGGTTGGTCAGCGTGCTGATAGCAATGTTGGCTCAGACCATGGGCAACATGGCTGGAGCAGCTCTCTCTGTGCAGGTAGGAAGTGATCAAATAGTCTATGCTGAGTCTTCCTCAATAGTGGCTAATATAACACTGCAGTATCTAGTGCTCTACAATTTACTGCGTTAGTTGATATTTAGTAAGAGATAAATATCAAGTAAAATTACATAGAAACTGAAAGCTGTAAATTCAAGAAATTATTTTTGCATAATGATTACCGGTACTCTTATTAGGTACTTGAAAACAAATTGGATCTAATAAGAACAGTAGAACAGTAAAGGAAATAAAAAAAAACTTTCTTTTTACAAACATCTAGCAAACAAAAATTACTTTTATTACATACTTCATAGAATGTAAAGAACTTATTTATTTTTATTAGAATAAGTTATATAAGTTAGTTGTGAGAATTTTTTTTTTCTTAGAGGCAAACGTCACAGAGAGCAATAATAAGCTTTTTTTAAAAAATTTGTGCTTGGTTTTATTTATTTAAAACACTGACTACACAACTTCACAAAGTATTTAGTATAAGTACTACCAACAATTGTTGTTCAAACAATTTTATTTGGGATAACTGTAATGGGCATTAATTGCAATGATGTATTCTTATTGGCATCTGTTTACCTACAATAATTACAATTTTCATTGCAGACGGCAGTATTCATCGTCCCATCGTCCACCATCCCTGTCCTGCTACTCTCTGGTTTCTTTGTGACCCTCAAGGACCTTTATCGGCCGTTCCAAATCCTTGCGGAAGTGAGCTACTTCAAGTTTGCCTTCGAAGGAGCATGTCAGAGTATCTTCGGCTATGACCGGCCCAAGTTGCCGTGTTCCCAGCCATACTGTCACTACCGCCATGTGCACAAGTTCCTTTCCGACATCGGAATGCAGGACTTCACCTTCTGGTACAACGTTGTGTGTTTACTCGTCTGGATCGTGTTCCTCCAGATTCTACTCTACGTTGTGCTGAAGTGGAGACTCTCCAAGGCCAAAACGTGATAGAAGAAGTGATTATGTTTCCACTCATGACAATTTTGAATTTTATCGTTTAATTTTTTTCTTAGTTGAAAAATACCACTCAATGACATTTGGTATTGATCAGTAGGAGCGAAAAGACCAGAGGATGCTTGTTATGCAGAGTAACACACTGTTCTATCACATTCCTTAATTGTGTTGTCTATCTGCTAGTGTCAAGTCAACACTCGAAGCAGATCGAACTCAAACCTACACAGGCAGCAAACCAGGTTTTGTTTTAGATTACCTTTGTTGTGTTGTAGCCTGTATAGTTTTTGAGTAGGTAGATGTTTGTGTCATCCTTTGCATTTCACCAGTTTGTGTGACATCTTCAGGGGTCTTCTTAAGTTATCTTCTTATCACTAACACTACAGTCTAAACTGTATTTACAAAAATATTTACATATACGGTTACTTAGTATCAGGGTCGGGTCGATCGGACAATGTGACGACTGCGGACTGATAACAAATTTCTGTTTGAGGTTTTGTCGTTATTTACTCAATCAAATTACTTTTGTTCAATACCTCTCAGGATTTTTATCTTTCATCTCTTAGACATACAATAGATATCTCTATTTCATTAAAATTATTTTTTAATTTTTAATTTTGGTATAATGATGGTACCAACAGAAGCAAAAGATTGCATCTACTCTAGATTACCTCTAGGAGATGCAAACACTATTTAATTTTGGACTAGCTATGCTGAATCATTTATAATGCCACAAATAAAATATCTGCTGATCTTTTTGGTCTCATCTAAGTTATTTATGTATATGTTAATGTTATATAAATAAAGTATACTCATTCCATTCTTTTGAACATATTTTACGAATTTTACAAAGAAGGCAAATTCATTTGTTTGATTACAGTATCAAGAATTAACAAGGTTAAAAGGTGAATTTAAAATGTAAAGGTTATGTTTCAAAAATATAGTATAGCTTTTATTAAAAACCACCTTAACTAGAAAGCTGTATTTTGGATTGTCAGGTACAAAATATTCCAGGACTTCCTTGACCTTGATTACTATTTAGCAGCCTTCATGACTTCTATGAGAACTCAGAGGCAACAAATACATTAGTTCTGGACCTGTCATCCCGAAAAACCTATGGAAATGTTTATTAATTGCTTTTTTTAGCCATTCAAACTTTCCTGGAGTATGTTACAACAAATGTAAAAAAACGTTTTCCTCTTAAGAACAATTAATCATAAGGTTGTTTGTATTTTGTTATGTATTGATTTATTGTACTTTTATATTATGTGCAAAGCACAATTTTTGTTAAAAATGTATAGTTAATTTAATCTCTCAAAAATATTCAAACTTTAAAAAAGTTGTGTTATAGAGTTTGAAACAATAGTTAAAAATAATTTACAAGCAAATATATTTTTTATAAATAAAAATTTTATACTTCAGTTGTATTTTGTGATATTGATGGTATTTGAATAAAAAATGTTATAATAAGTTTTGATTGCTTTATTACAAAGGAGGGGAACCAAATAAACCTTGATGACATCTTTTGCTTCTTTTTGCCAAAGATATGTGATAACAAAACAAACAACATTAATCAGGGGGACACAGGACTCCAATGGTAGTCTGAGATCACTCAGCTGTTAAGGTGATTGGGCAAAAAATCCCCTCTTAATTTTTTTCTGTTTTGTTTTTGCCCTAAGACTATGCCTCTTGGAAGAATATGGAGAGGTTTTAGACATGCCCTCTGACCAAATGTCAATTAGGTTCTTCTTATTCTCGGTGTTCTATCCTTCTATTCAGTAAAATCTGCCATCTGAGGGAATAGTCTTGGCCACATGGATCTGGAAATGTACACTGACACTGACATTTCCAAGGAGATGAAAGGTGGCATGAGAGCTGACATAGTCCAGTCAAGGAATGGAGGTTGAGTGCGTGAGCAGGTAAAAACTAAGCGATATTCCTTCGCTTCAGAAACTTGTTCAGGGGGCTTAGGGTGTTAACTATACCAAAAGTCCTGACTCCTAGGTGGTGAGCCAAAAACTATTAACTTTTTGTATTCTGGTACTAAATTATAAAATTGAAAAAAATTAAATTTTCCACAAGAAAAATAGGCCTATATAATGTGTTTATTTTGGTTAAACAGATTACGAGTTATTACTTTTAATTAATATCTTATTAAAATACTCCTTCCATAAGAAATACATCTAAAATAGTATGCAAAATGGGGTGAATCCTATCCGCCCAAAGGAAATATAACCGATATTCTGGAAATCTTATTCATAAAAATTGATCCAAAATTAAGGCGAGGGCGAGGTAACAAAAATGTGTGTTTTGGTGTTTTTTATTAAGAATTATAAAAAGCCCTAAAATCATCCTGTTTCTAAACGCTCACCCTCGCTTTAATTTTTGACCAAATCTTATGATTTAAGTGTCAAATTGCTGGAAATTTTACCAAGATTTCCAGAATATCGGTTATATTTCCTTTGGGGGGATAGGATTTGCCCCATTTTGCATACTAATTTACATGTATTTCTTATGGAAGGAGTATTTTAATAAACTATTAATTAAATTAGTAATAACTCGATAAGATTTAAGATTTACGATCTGTGTTTCAAGAAGTAAAATCATTGGTCTAACATGGTCTAAAATCAAAGGTGCTGTCGATTATGAACAAGGAAATGTATTTTCCACTTCGAGTGGCAACACTGCCCGTGCCGAATGCACACTAGCACACTGTGTTAGTGTCTGCAGCTGCTGCTGCTGTCAAGTCAGCTGTGCTGTAGGAGTGTCTATTTGTCTAATCGATTTCTAACCTTACCTCTTCAAAGTGCAAAGTCCAATAATTATTTTAGTTTAGTTTTAGATTAAGTATTTATTTAAGATTATGAAGCTCATAAAAAATCAAAAATAATCATAACTTACAATAACAACTTTCAGTGCTTTCAAATTTGTAGAGGTTAAAGTTAGGCCTGTATATTAAGGGTTTGGTAATTATGCGTACTAATAACTCAGATGGAAATATAAATGAAAATTGTCAATTGGCTTCTTACAAATCCAAGCATGAGGTAAGGCACTTAATTGAATAAGTTACAATGACAGGTTGAATAAGTTATTTCTATGAAAGAGGCCTAGTTTAAGTAGGCTTGGCCTATTAGTATGGATTAGACAATCCAATTTTTTCAGCTATCTTTACAGCTTTTAATGTGATGAGAATGGTTTACCTAACACTTAAAATGGAAACTAAGGCCTTTCATATACATGTTTATCATTCATTGTTAAAGACTGCATTATTCTCAATCTTTCAATATTCTATCAATATCAGCATGTCAACCCTGTAAAAATGGTGTAGGCCTAACCGTAAAATAAATAAATAAATGCTGCAGCCTCCCTTCCTTTGGGGTAGGTCTAAAAAAGTAGACTTAGCCTACAAAAGTTAAAGACGATGAAGGAGACATGGCTTGCTTAAAATGTTCCGGAAGAGCCGGGTTTGTAATTTTTATCGAACTTGATTCTAACATCGAAAAATTGGGTAGGCCTACAACTCCTCAAGGATAGGCTAAATTAATCGGCTGCACTTTAAGTTAGTTATCTGTCCCACACTCATTAAGAATGAATATATTTCGATCATTACATTCGATATGTAAAGTTTGGGTAAGATAGTTAGGTTGAACCTGTATCCTATAACCGAATGGAATAGCAAAATCGATATATCGAATAATCTAATATATCAATAGCCTATTTTTCATCGGATGGGTGTAAGTAGGAGAGATACTAAAGTGCAGCCAATTAGTCGACAAAATGAAAGTTTTCCATTTTTCCTTGTTTATTTGATTTCACCAAGGAAAACAACAGTAATTTGTCAACTCAGGATATTATTTAAAATCATAATGTAGGTAGCCTAACAAAATAAATATACTATTTTAACGTGATGTCTGTGATCGATAATTAGTGATTTCTATGTTAAGTTATAACTCAGCAGATCGCCCCAGAATGCAAATTTTCAATCTCCCCCCACCCAATGAGATTCAATTCCAAAGCAGTCCCCCCCCCCCTTTCAACTGGACGAAACCTGCACATACTTCAGTCCTAAGTTTAGCTAAGTACCGGTAACTGTCTCAGCAATATCTTGCCATCCCTTCTCATCCCATTGTAAGTTTTGAAGCTAGTTTTTGTGTTTAGTTCATGTACGTAGGCACTGATCGCAAGTGTAGACAAAATTTTGTTTCTTTTATTTTTGGGCTATTTTGATGATTGTGCTTTACTAGGATGATTGGTTATAACTAGGAGACCAGTTATATTTGATTATTAGATTGTTTTGTTTTGTTGAACGAGGTTTTAAATTACTGAAGTACCTAACAAGAAACAAATTTTAAACACAACCCCTTCAGTGCAACGCACAGAACAAACAATAAAGTTGGCTTCAGCTGTTCCATAAGGATGAGAAATCTACTAATGGAGTGTGTTTTAACATCCGTAATGGTTCTATTTATTAAAAGATCTCAACATCACAACAATAGCCTAAGTTAACTGAGTTTTATTATCAAGTTTAGTGTTAAGTTAAGACTTGTTTGTTTATTTTTATGTTGACGTTATCGTGTTGACGTGTATCGTTACTTATTAAGTACAGTACAATATGTCCTAAGCCCAGAAGCAATTTTCAGTAAACAAATAGAAATACAAGTTGTAGAAAATATAATGTAAGTCATAAGTTATATCACAGACAACCACAATAGTCTATGGTTATATTAAACACTGGCCTATTGTGAAAATGTCAATATATGCCATGGTGTGATACTGATCAAAAGCTAGCTTGGTTTTGCTGTTTACAAAATCAGTACGGTAGTTTGTATCTTTGAAGCAGTATCACTGTGTATTCCCAAAATTTCCACAGTTTGCAACAATTTATCACAGTAACTACCTACCGTTTCTTTTTTTATCAAAGAAAAATACCCCTAGTTTATGAAAAAGACACTTTTTTGAGTTAAGACTAAACAACTAATTGTGATTTTTATTTTCAGAACGATGATACCCCTGTAAAAAATCCTGATGAGATTGCTGAAGGTAAACAGAAACTGCAAAGCTGGATCAACAAACATATGAAGATTGAAATGACCGATGGTAGAATTCTTATTGGGATGTTTTTGTGCACAGACAGAGATGGAAATGTAATTTTGGGATCTTGCAGCGAGTACCTTAACCCTGAAGGTAATACTAGTCTCTTTTATTCTAATTTCCTTTTCAGATCCCTTGTTTTTATTCAATTTATTTTACATTTTCGTATTCCATTTGGTTCAATCTTAGACTGTGACTGTACCCTATTATTTATCTACAGTAAAGGTTTGAGGTTCCTTTTAGCCTTTCGTTTGCATGTATATGTCCAACATGAATTAAGGGTGCGCTCTACTTCTCCGCGAGGGAAGAGCAAGTTGGGGTAGTGGTTAGAGCGCGGGACTTCAGTCTGAGGTCGTGGGTTTGATCCCCGCCAAGTCACCAATGGATTTTATCTAAGTGATAATGCTGCAACCCCTAGGTCTAGCCTGAAGTAATGTGAAAAACAATCCCAGGCTCGTGCCTAGCGTCCTAGGACAAAAAAAAAAAAAAAGTGCGCTAATGCAAGGGTTTAGGATCTCGGTCATTGTCAGTTTAGTTCTTAACTAATTTACAATATATTTATGTTAATTAAAAATTATTCATTTCTTGTAGCTGTAGGCTTGTACTTTTGAAATTTTTTGATAATAGTAAAATTGTAAGATGAAAGTGACTGGTAAATACATCTAAATAAGCGTTTTTCTTTAAGAATTTTACACATACAAATAAATTTTTATAAGAAAATTAAAAAAGTAGAGTCATCAATTTGAATGTAAGGAGTAAGGAACAATATTCAGATTAAAAGTATTTTAAAAGTTTAAAGTGAGTAATTTAAGAGGACTTAAACGTCTGCCAGCACTTCTCGCTGCACTGTTCAATGGTGCAACATGGCTACTGAGGCCCGAGTTGAGATTTCTGAGCTGAGGTAGAGAGCACCCTTAGAGGGTTGATTGGTACAAAGGATCAAAAGGTACGAGAATGGGCAATACTGATAACACCTTTAAGCGATGTCTTTAGAATGTTACTAAACAAAATCACTGTCGTGGTTTACCACCAAAAACAATTTGGGCAACAAACTCAATAATTTACTTGCAAAAATATTGTCAAATACTGTCTCGAGAGGCTATAGTGATCAACTTCAAATGTGAATATCATTCGATCAGTTCCAGACATGACTGATTCTGTACTAAGATGCCATTTGTCCTTGGGCGTTCATTGAGATACTGTAATGAAAGGTCAGGGCTGTCACGTGGTTTATTGGTGCCCATGACGCGATGTTTGGCAGGTGCCCTCCTCCCCCTTAAACATACAATGAGCGATGCTCATGGCGGGTTACGATGCTTTCTGAGACATCATCTGCACTGGGCAAATCACTATTGTCAAAAAACCTAAATATATCCATCGGAAATATAGTCATTGTCCTCCACAATCACGGTAAAAACTAAATTGTCTTCTGCAGTCGTATGGATATCATCATCATCATCATTGTCACCCACAATTAGGACGAAATCAAGATTATTTCTTGGTAGTGTGATCATTCTCACTGTCTTCCACGATTGCCTCAATATCCTGAATATTTTTGGCAGTAACAGAGATATAAGTTAGTAATCGCAACAAAAACAAGATGAATTCCATCGGTCTTGTGGACATTATTATCGCCCTCTGTGATTGCAGCGAAATCGAGATAATCTCCTGAGGTCATATATTCCATCATTATCGTCTCATGTGATTGCGACAAAATCCTAAATATATCCATCGGTAACAGAAATTCAGTCATCGTCCTCCACGATAACAGGATGATCAAGATTATTCAGGGGTCCTGAAGACATCATCATCTTCCGCGATGCCGGTTTAATCCTAAGTATTTCGTGCAGTAACAAAAGTAGCATAGCCTATAATCGTCATCCTCTGTGATGCGGATAGATGGATTATCATCTTGATTATCCACCACGGTCTCGGAAACATGATCATTGTCTACGTTGCAACTGTAAAAGCTCAGCTTGAGCTTGATTTTCTGACTTGATGTTCGATTCCTCAAGCTTTTAGGCTAGGCTAAAAAAATTGAGCATCGCGATACATCTAACATAATTTTTTTCTAATATTTTCTACTACTTTAGCCGTGGCACTTGCCGGCGCTCCCCAAAGCCACTGCTTGCCCGCGGGGCCCAGGATGGTTTTCCGGTCGTCCCACCCACGCAACAGCCCTGCAAAAGGTCAACATTTCTTAAGTAGTTACCGGTACAAGATCCCTTTCAAAAAACATGAAAGTACCATTGACGTCTTATGCCGTAGAGAAACATAAAAAACCTTTAGTTGAGAATACTTCTGGGAGAATGTTTTAAAAAACCAATTGCTTTTGTAGGCCTATTGTAAGTTAAATGTGATTCTCTTAAGCTACTAATCATCGTTATTGTTTGCTTCAGGTATTATGCACATCTGAAGGAGATTAATGATGATTGGATGCTTTTGAGAATCATAAAAATGTCTCGTATCCAAAGTGCCAGATGGGCATTCAACTGCCGGGACTGGTCACCATCGGAATATGATGTTCAACTTTTAGCAAGTGGTCTTGATGCTGAAGACAAAGAACAAGTAGGAAAGTTTGTTTTTCAAAAAGATGCCAAATCGGCAATCATTGGACGATTTCTGACCAAGAAGTTTATATGTGATGCTACAGGTATTCTGTGGAAAAAAGTCAAGATTCTCCGTGATACTGAGCATAAAAAGCCATACTTTCCACAGGAACTTTACCCATCCTGCAGAGTACAGTTTAATATTTCGCACAGTGGTGATTTTGTTGTTTTAGCTGGGGAAATGGGTGATGTAAAAGTGGGGGTGGACGTAATGAAAGTAGAAAAACAGAGGACAACAACTGTTCCAGAATTTTTCCGATTGATGAACAAACAGTTTGCAGCTGAAGAGTGGAGTGTGGTGAAATCCCAATACACTGAATGTGAACAGATGGCAATGTTTTATCGGTTTTGGTGTTTGAAGGAGAGCTACACAAAAGCTACTGGGACAGGCATCACAGTTGACCTTCAGAAAATATGTTTTAAACTCAAAAACCTCCGTTTGGCTGTTAATTCGGTTGTGGGTGACACACAAGTTTTTGTTGAAGGCCAAAAACAAGAAGGGTGGCTGTTTCAAGAGACTATGATCAGCAACAACCACATTGCTTCCGTGGCTATTTTTAGCCCAGAGGGGTGTTCAGACTTTCATTCTAAAGGAGAACATTTCAGTGTTCTTAGCTTTGATGAGTTAATCTCCCAGTACGATCAAATATCAGATATTGATATTGATTTCAGTAAAAGGTTTTTGTCCAAGAAGATAAAACCGTGATTTATTTTAGACTACTATTATAGTAAATGGTTGGAATAAATGGTCAATCTTTATCACTTTTGCTGTTGTATATTTAAGTAACCTTATTTCCAGAATGTTTTTTTTCCTTCAAATTAATGTCTAACTCTTGAGCAGTAAAATATCTAGAGGATGCTCGAGAAAACCATGTGCCTCTTGCCAGTGCCGGATTTAGGGTAGATCTATTTGGGGTCCTAGACCAAATCAACCTGAGCCATTCTTTTAAGTGAAACTTCCCCTTAACCACAACAATATTATGAACATCTCCTATATGATCACAGGGGCAAATCAATTTTATCATTTGCAATCGCAGATGGATTGTGAACAACCCCAGCAATCAAGTATCTTATAAATTTTATCTTATCCAGAATTTAGATAAAAACACTTTTTGTAAATTTAATTTAAACAGTAGTGCAACTTCATCTAGGGTGAAATAACATTGTCAGCGCCTACATACAGTTACATAAACCCTCTTTTAACCGACCCTCAGGTGACCTAGCTTGATTCGGTTTAGTTAAAACAGAAAATATTTTAAGCATGTAAAATAGTTTTAAAATAAATTTTAGTTATGTTGTGGGAATGACAATCTTAGCTAGACATATATTACTGGACAAAAACTCTATGAATCTTTAAACTCTAAACCATTTGTAAAATGAGGGGTGTTTTGAAGTAAGGGTTGTTTTAGCGAATTTCCCATATAGGGAATAAGCTATTACCTTAGTACTCATGGTAAGACATGGACCCGGGACTGATTTACTTTTTCGTTTTGAGGTCCCCAGAGGCCAAAAACACCCTCCGTTCAAATTCATATACATTATATACGGTATATATAAATACTAAGTGAACCCGCGCGAATTTGCACGAATAATAAATTAGGATATTATAGCATCGTGGTTAGAAATTGCGTCGTTGTATCAACGTTGGTCTTGAGCTCGATCGTTGGCTATATGCAATCTAACTTCTTTTTGCTGTTCAGTAGGAGTATTTTGTAGGACGGAGCTCATCATGCTGAAAACTTGCGCGTATGGATTAATATCAACCAAATGTTGAGTCAAAATCTGCAGGAGTTCATAGTGCTGCAAGAGCCATTAGCTTTGTTTAGCATTCTTTCTTGAACAGCGGTTTCGACGTCGTAGATATAAATTTGGGCATATGTGGGATGCTCCCCCTCTGACGGTAGAAAGGTGCCAATTGAGTGATAAATTGTGTCGTGCGCCTTATACATGAACGGCCCTCCATCGTTATGTTCTTCAATTTTAGCTCGAGTGCTGACTTTTGTCGAGCACAGAGTTGTACGATCTAATGTTCTCTTTGTAGTTTCTGCTCAAATGATTTGCTCCATTAAGTAGGTTCTTGATATAATAACTTTCTCGGTATGGTGGTAGATTCACTTTTCCTTCATGGCAGCAGGATGAAAATCCTTCGCCTCGTGCTCTTTGTTCTTATTTAAAATGTAGCGCACCACATTTCTGACATTTTAATGCCATCTCGCCAAGTGAATGCGGCTGAATTCTCGCATTTGTCAGTGTAATTTTGTAAGTACACGTTACCACTGTTCCAGCTCATCGTCTGGGCTCCTCATGTTTTGCATTGCTTGCTGTAAGTTGACTCGCCGTGTCTGACCGGCAATATTTCTTTGTCGTCAGGTCCTTGGCATGTTTAAGCGAAAATAAAATGTAAAACTTTTCTCCCGTCGTGTCCTATAGGTAACATTTCTTTACCAGGTTTCTAATTATAAAAAAAAACATGCAAACTGTTTACATTTCAAAACCAAACAAAACAGCTGGGATTTTTTTAAACATATTGACATCTGTTTCAGAATATAATAACATTCAAATCAATCACAATGTTATCCTTATGGAAGGAACTTTGAGGGCAGCCCACTCCCTTAAAAAGATATCTATATATTAATTTGAATCTGTTTTTCTTTGTCACAGCTATTTTGAGAGAACCGCTGGGCGTAGAAACTCGGTAGAGGTGTCTAAAGAAAGGTCTTGGTCTGTAGATGAGCCATCAAAAGAGAAACATGGTGAATTCCCTTGGGGCTCTGCCCCAGTGGCCTTTGAATTCCCATCCCATGTTATTCTTATGGAGGAAAACGGGGTTTTTGTCACAGCTAATTTGAGAGAACGGCTGGGCGTAGAAACTCTGTAGGGGTCTCTAAAGAAAGGTCTTGGTCTGCAGATGAGCCATCAAAAGAGGAACGAGGTCAATTCCCTTGGGGCTCTGCCCCAGAAGCCTTTAAAGTTGCCTCCAGATTTGTTTACATTACGACCATATGCATAATTCTACACTACTTTTTAATGAAACAGCTGTTAATATTTAAATTGTGATTTATTGAATTTGTCAAAATAAAGTACAGTATTTGCAATGGGTTTTTCTGATTTTAAAATGGATTTTCTTCTGCATCGTGTCATGTTTTGCAATATAATGTTCTATTACCAAATCAGTGGAAAATCCTATTATCACAGTAACTCTTTTCTTTTGGAGTTAACTTATATCTATTGTATGGGTTGGTTTCTGCCTTTTTTACCACTTCTTAGAGATTGTACGTAGGTGATATTCGTTGGCATATTGCATCTGTAGACGAAACTTGGGTTGGTGTATAGAATGGAAAAGAGTGAGAAATCCTGGACAATTTGATATAGGCTAAAAATAAAACTGAATTAACACTGTTCTACATTTCTTGAGCAATCATTGAAATAACCGATTTGCAAACAATGGAAACATAGAAAAGTTATAGAACACAACCAAGTAGAAGAAATAGAAATAATGTTTTTTTCATTTATAATCGTTATCTTAGACAACCTAATGCGACTATGAGAGGGAAAAATTTGTAGAATACACCAAAAAAACAAGATCAGCTTTTTGAAAAAAGATAAGATATTTACAAAAAATTTTGATTATATCTAACTATTGTATAGATTGTGAGTATTTCCATAATCTTTGAGTCACCTGTAATGCAATTGCTCGAATTCGAGCAACAGGTACACTAGTATTTCTTTAATCTAAAGCCAGTTTGCACATCTACACACCTAGACGAACATTTTGGTAAATAATATGTGGGGTTAAATCTTAAAACAAAAAAGCCTTATTGTTCACAAAGTTTCATGTCACGTATTAAATATATAGATGTGTCCCTTAGCGCGATAACTCGAGCAAAAATTATCCGATTTTGATGAAATTTGGTAGAAACGTAGTTGGTTTTTCCCATTTTTGACTCTAATAACATAAAATTTCACAATTTCTTTCCAAACTATTTTGTAGAGCTTAAAAAAAGAAATCATATTGTATATTGAAGTGTTATTGTATTTTATGGTGTTTTTGGAATGTGGATGCAATTTTAAGACTTATTTGACTTATTTACTCTTCGCATTTTCGCTATAAACCTACTTGTTTAGGAGCTACATGATGTAAAATGTACACCGGAAGTCATTTGTCCATAGGCTGTTTTTAACTCCTAAACGAGTGGGTTTATCGAAAAAATGTCAAGAATAAAAAAGCTTTTAAATTGCATGTTCTATCCGAAAACATGATAAAATATAGGGTGTTCCATAAGAAATTTCAAAGTTGGCCGCCATTTTGGAAAATGGCGGCTGAATTTCAAAAATATAAAATCATATTTTTAACTGCCACAAAAAATAAAGGAATGTCCCCCATTTAAAGTTTTCTCTAATTCTTACCGTTTCCGATATCCCAATGGTGGCCTCCTTGAGTTGATCACCCTGTATATAAAATCCAATGTATGTTTGTTTGTCCTTTATGGACTCCAAAACCGCTCGACAGATTGTAATGAAACTTTCAGGAGTTATTAAGCATTATTCAAGGATGGTTTGTGTGAAGTTTGGTGCAGATCCGTCAAAAGGGCTCCGTCCCAGTGGCTCTGGAGTTTCCCATGTTAACGTTATGAGTACTCATATTTAAATGGAATTAAAGAATCTTAACAGCTGGTTCAACTAAACAATTTGATTCTGTGATGTTCAATCGCATTAAAAAGTTAATAGGTTTACCAACAGGGTGCAGCACTATAATTTTTTATTTATTTATGAGAACAGCTAATTAGCAACCAAAAGGTGAGTGAGTGTAGCGAACGAACTTCAACCTGGAGGCGAGTTAGCGTAGCAAATGATCTAACCTGAAGGCAAGTGAGCGCAGCGAACGAGCTCCAACCTAAAGGTGAGTGAGCGTAGCGAAGGAACTTCAACCAGGACGTGTTTGAGCCATGCGAACGAGCTCATCTTGAAAACAAACGAGCATTTGACATAAAACTACAATAGGACAGGACCATGGGCAGGACGACTAGTATTTTAATACAATTTGGCAATTTTGTTTATTTCATACTAAGCTATCAACATTTCAATAATAAAACACACCTTAATACCTTCCCTGTAGCAGCAAACCTAGGTACTCATTAAAATTAATGTAATTTAATTAGGAAAAAAAATCTAAGCATTTTCAGGGAATATTGTAGAAATCCTACCAGGGTTAGAGTTAGAGGTAACTGTATACTTACATTTTGGGGCAATTCGTGGGTTTAACATGAAGTAAAATTCAAACCTCGGCATATCTACCTCTTAGTTTTTAGCGGATTTCGAGAACCCACTAAAAGTTATCGTCCTACAGCCCTACTAAGGAGTCCCATAAGCTACTGTAGTTAAACTGGTGTACTAAATCTGTCACCTATCCTAGCACCCTAGCTGTTCAAGCTGATTTCAGGTCTGGGTATATTGCTGTGACCAGATTTTTGCCCTCACATAATTTGTTGAAGGAGCTTTTTCTTGTATTGTAGAAGCCATTTGTTGACAGGCTTCATGATACTTAACTAAGCAACTGAGACAAAACATAACCTAGTCAAATGGAACTAAAAACACACCCTTTCCATTGTTGTCGCAATCAGCAGTTTGAGATCACGGAAACAGACGTAGTAACCTTTAGTTTTGCACTATTTTGTTTTAATAACACTAAACATAAAAACGTAGTAATTGTATTTCTCTAGTTAAAATTAATTGATTGTTGCAGTATGTGGATTCTCTGATGAACCAAGACTTCTTGGACTTGTGATGGTTCCTGGTCGTCACATTGTAAACATTCATTTTGATAGTCAGCCATCAGAAAAAGACATCACATAAACCTCGATCAGAAAACATAATCCAGCTTGGCGGTTTTTTATCATTTAAATTGTTGAATCATTGTGTAAATCATTTGTGGAGTCATATTACAAATCAGTACATTAAAAACACGTTTATTTCTTTATCCTTTAACTATGTACAAGACATCTATTGATACAATGTTTACATACTATGAATACATGTCTGTTTGAAAATTGCTAATACGCTTTTATAAATTGTGGTACTTTCCTAAATATTGTACAATCTTAAGCTGTAGTTTACATGAATAAATTAAACTGTTGGGAAAGCAAGATTATTTTAGTTGGTTTTATATATTACAGTTGTTTTCAAAAAAATGGTCAGCAAATAATATCTCAGATAATTTAAATTAGGCTACTTGTAAATAAAGGCTATATTTATTTTCAAACAGAGTTATCTTACAACTCTGTAGGTACTAGATTGATAACTTTATATGAAAAAATATCTGAAATTTACAATTTTTATGACTAAAATAAATTTTAAATTCTGTTCAGTTCAAAATCTAAGTAAAAATGTGAAAAGGGTATTTCTTAAAGGTAAATTTACAAATGTATTTGTTCTACAATCGCCTGTTTTCATAGTTAATTCTAAAATTTAAATTGTATCCATTAAATTAATCTCATGTAAACTATTTATCATTCAGTTGCCCTATCATTTTCAAGTCCAATTTTATCAAAGAATTGGGTTTAGGAACATTATAAGTGACCTCCATTTTTTAATATACAGATACACATTCATTCAAAATATATTAGGATTATGCATACAGAAGGTTTATCAAAAGGTAACAAAGTACAGTAGATCTAATTAGTTATTTGCAATTTGTTTTTGCAATAAATAATATTGTAATCCTGAGATAAATAAATAAATTTGCAGGGTGTCCCTCAAAGAGGTTGATATTTTGAAATTAATATACCAAACCACAGACGTATAAAACTCAATTAATGATATAACATTGTCTTATCTTAAACAACCTTAATTTTGTTTAACTAAGTAAAATCTAAAGTAACAAGAACCGAAGTAATTTTTTCAAATAAAATTACTTAAGTGAAAACACAACATTAATTTCTTTAAAGTTCAACCAACTTCGTTCTAATAGGTCGGAATCATGTGGAACTTGGAAGTGTTTTATGTACTTGTTGCAGCTGTGGAGTTTGAAGCTTGTGGGACACTCTGTATATTAAAATGTTATGTGTGTTAAAAATATACAAATACAAAAGTATACTGCAAGTTGTTTGGGGGCTGTTATCGAAACTGTGAAATGTCTTATTGATTTTGTAATCTTATAGAATCCAATTACTTCCATTATGCATTTCTAGGGTGGGAATCCTTCAATTCATAGAAAGTTCTCTTCAATTAAGAGGTATATCTTTTTTTCTAAGCTGCTAGTAATCAGCTTGATATTAACCAGGCCTTAAAAATGAGATCTAACCACTGAACCCATCTATTATTTCCCATGAAGGTTTTCTTTTCAAAATAAAAATCCTACAAGAAAATATAAATCTTTGACCAGCTTTAAAAATCTTTTTTATTCTATAAACATTACTATGTCTTCATAAGGCTCACAAATTGCAAACAAACTTCAGATCACAATACATAGAACATACATACAATACGAAGATATACTTATCACACATTTTGTTTCTTTTATGTACATAATATCCAACCTCTATTCTCTTCCTCAAAAGACAAAATAATTCTCTAACAAATATGTACATCAAGCATAAATTAATAAATTATAGACAAAACAACAAATACTTTACACAGAAACAATAGTACCGTAAAACTTAAGTTTTTTAGTAGTGTACATGAAATGCTAATCAAATTAAAATTATTTGAGGGCACTTTATTTGCAAAACTGCTACTGTATTATGGTTTGAAAAAGAGATTTTGATAGGTACAAAATCAAGATTTAATTAAATGAACACAATAGTATAAACATTTTTACAAATGTGTTGATATTTATGTTACTAGGAGTTCCATGTCTTATTACAACATTGTTAAAGCATTTTATTTTGTGGCAAAGCTTCGTAATTCTTTTTTTAAATTGTCTATTGGTATGAAACTTTTAATTAGTAGTTTAAAGGAGTTCAAAGTGATTCTTATATTTAGAAATTGGTAAAAGTTAGTGTGTCTCTTTGTTGTATATTTATAGTTTTTGTACATACCTAAGAAGTGCCCACTTTTAGTACCACACAATTATCTAAAGTAATGTTCTTATTTTTCTGAAATGAGTTGTAGTTCAAAGCAAAATATTTTTACTCAGCTTGAAGAGCGTCAACTATAGTCAAATGCATCTAAAACCAATATTTTGGTGTCTAGAAAATAATCAACCACAACTTTTACTTTGACTTTATCGTACACCACTTGTTGTAGACTTTATCACACTTTTATAAAATTAATTTCTTGTTTGTTAATATATCACTATTCTATTTTCATTTGCCCATGGTTTTAACTAATGTTTTGAGTAAGGACTGTAGTGTTAGACTTAACTCCTCTCTTCTAAGATTGGTCTTGAACATTATTATACTGGTTTGATGCTTCTGGTCATTATTACTTTTGGCCCAATGGAAAATTGAAATTTTTTAATTCAAAAAACTTTATAAACATTGTAACAACTTGAACTCCCCGTAAACACTAAACGTTTAAAATAGACAAAAAAATCCATACAATTCCATCTTGTTTGACATATTACTGAATTTTATAGATATAACTGCTACACTAGGAATTTGAAAAAATAGTCCCAGTTTAGATGAGCTCCTGCAGCTGATCTAGCAAGGTGCTGTTGAGTAGGCGCAGTGTACAGTCAGAGTTGAGTCGTCATTATGTCTGGTACTGGAGCATTGGTGCTGCGAGGTTGGGGTGATGACTGGTGTTCATCCTCAGAGCAGACAGACTCTTGTTGTACCACTCGTCTTCTGTAGTCATCCCTATAACAGTCAATAGTGTTAGATAATAGATGTAGTATATCAATATAGGCGCAGTGTACAGTCAGAGTTGAGTCGTCATTATGTCTGGTACTGGAGCATTGGTGCTGCGAGGTTGGGGTGATGACTGGTGTTCATCCTCAGAGCAGACAGACTCTTGTTGTACCACTCGTCTTCTGTAGTCATCCCTATAAAAGTCAATAGTGTTAGATAATAGATGTAGTATATCAATATAGGCGCAGTGTACAGTCAGAGTTGAGTCGTCATTATGTCGGTACTGGAGCATTGGTGCTGCGAGGTTGGGGTGATGACTGGTGTTCATCCTCAGAGCAGACAGACTCTTGTTGTACCACTCGTCTTCTGTAGTCATCCCTATAACAGTCAATAGTGTTAGATAATAGATGTAGTATATCAATATAGGCGCAGTGTACAGTCAGAGTTGAGTCGTCATTATGTCTGGTACTGGAGCATTGGTGCTGCGAGGTTGGGGTGATGACTGGTGTTCATCCTCAGAGCAGACAGACTCTTGTTGTACCACTCGTCTTCTGTAGTCATCCCTATAAAAGTCAATAGTGTTAGATAATAGATGTAGTATATCAATATAGGCGCAGTGTACAGTCAGAGTTGAGTCGTCATTATGTCTGGTACTGGAGCATTGGTGCTGCGAGGTTGGGGTGATGACTGGTGTTCATCCTCAGAGCAGACAGACTCTTGTTGTACCACTCGTCTTCTGTAGTCATCCCTATAAAAGTCAATAGTGTTAGATAATAGATGTAGTATATCAATATAGGCGCAGTGTACAGTCAGAGTTGAGTCGTCATTATGTCTGGTACTGCAGCATTGGTGCTGCGAGGTTGGGATGATGACTGGTGTTCATCCTCAGAGCAGACAAACTCTTGTTGTACCACTCGTCTTCTGTAGTCATCCCTACAACAATCAACATAGTTAGATAATAGATGTTGTCTATCAATACAGGCGCAGTGTACAGTCAGAGTTGAGTCGTCATTATGTCTGGTACTGGAGCATTGGTGCTGCGAGGTTGGGGTGATGACTGGTGTTCATCCTCAGAGCAGACAGACTCTTGTTGTACCACTCGTCTTCTGTAGTCATCCCTATAACAATCAATAGGGTTAGATAATAGATGTAGTATATCAATATAGGCGCAGTGTACAGTCAGAGTTGAGTCGTCATTATGTCTGGTACTGGAGCATTGGTGCTGCGAGGTTGGGATGATGACTGGTGTTCATCCTCAGTGCAGACAGACTCTTGTTGTACCACTCGTCTTCTGTAGTCATCCCTATAACAGTCAATAGTGTTAGATAATAGATGTAGTATATCAATATAGGCGCAGTGTACAGTCAGAGTTGAGTCGTCATTATGTCTGGTACTGCAGCATTGGTGCTGCGAGGTTGGGGTGATGACTGGTGTTCATCCTCAGAGCAGACAGACTCTTGTTGTACCACTCGTCTTCTGTAGTCATACCTATAACAGTCAACATCGTTGGATAATGTTGAATAGATCAAGTCCTATTCCCTTGTGTTGAAGTATTTTTTTTTTTTAATAATGAAGGTACATAGTTGAATTAAGCCACAATTGCTGTATTAATTTTGGATATGTCAACTTTTTAATCGTTCCAAACTCAAAGGAAGACTCCTGAGTTCTTGGCGAGGTTGACCTCAGAATTACTTGGAGGCGGTGTAGCCAACAACTTTTCATCGGACTAAACAGTGTACGAGTTGAATATTGCGACATTACATAACATGGCCCAATATTCCTAATGCAGTACCTTGCCAGGTATAAAATAAAATTAGGCAACGAGCTTCCTCTTCTGAGGTTGATTTCTTTGGAATAAGAGAATCAACGTCAATAAGAGAACATTAAGAAGAACAATAAGAGAATAAGAGAAAAAAACACAATTGTCTGATTTGCAACATTAAAATTTTATATCGTAACCATTTTCTACTCCAGTTTTGTTTAGTTATATTTTTTTCTAATACTGTGATGCATGTGTATGCAATTTTTCACGTCTTTCATAAATTATTATTGCACAATTTATTGATTGTTCTAGATATTTGTTACGTCTTATATAGCTGCTCTATATAAAATAACTGTTGTGAAATTAATTTTTATCCAGGCCTATTTATTTTTATTGTTGCAACTTAATGATTATTTATAATCTTTATTAGTTTCTGTTGTTGTTTATTAATATTGGTTTTTATTATTTTCGTCGTTATTATTAGTCTAATTAATCAGTTGTAAATAAAAAAAGTTGTCAATTTAGTTGTATTATTGGTGGGGTCATTTATAATTACTTATGTCTTTAGTACCATAGTCAAAATATTCAGTGCATTCTCCAGATTAAAATTGGTAATATTATGTTAAATTATACCGTTGCACCTTGACTATTGTACACATATGTAAATTTACTTTGCCATTTGAACAAATGAGTAAACAGTCAAACCTTTTATGGCACATCAACGATTTCAAGAACAAAATATAAGGGAGGACAATATTTGAATCTTAAGACTTAAATACGATCTAAGAGGATCTAGTTTATATAGGTACTTCAGCGTCCTACTTATTAATGAAATTTAAATCAAATAAAATTAAGTTTAAATAAGTATAGTTTCAAATTTAAAATCTCAATATACTCTATTTTATATAAAACCCAATTTTGATTTTGGAGAGAAGCATATTGTCACAGCCAGCAAATTCGTTCCCTCCCTCTTGCATTCAAACAACGAACGAAGCTCCAGCGGAAAACAGAGAGGATTTTATTTCCTACTTTTTCAAAACGATCTCTCGTTGCCGCTATTCGCGGCAAAACAATGCATACGAAATTCTCCCCCCCCCCCTCCACCCTCGCTCGCCGCGTTGAAGGCAATTTTCTTGAGTCATATGTTGACGCCGCCATCTTAACTCATTTCCTGAGTTTGATTGGATGTTTGCGTCTTAAGACGCTGCCGGAAACAGTCCCCATTTCCTCCTGAGGCGCCCGGGATGCTTTCCGAAAACTACATCTTTTACGTTCTTTCAAGCTTGGTTACCTCTTTTGGTTTACAGGGGAATTTCGTAGTGAAACTTTGTGGCGTAAGCTCCTGTGTCGTTTTTTTAAAGTTAACCGTAGACTTTGGATAATGCAAGATTGCAAGTTAACCTCTCTTTTATTGTAAAATGCAGAGTTTGTTTTGGTGTGTTATAAGCTCATTAAGGCTTAATTGGTGTAAACTAAATTTAATTTGGAGTAGAGTTTAAAGTATACGATTTTGCAATTATGTTATGAAAGCAGGGACAAAGAATATGTAAATCTATATATCGTTTCTATTTTTTAATTTGAAATGTTTAATGTCAGTATTACATTGTAAAGTTGGAAAATTGCCTTTAAAAGAATAAAAGGAAGGCTTAAGCGATCCGTTACCAGTTACTCCGAAAAGGTAGGTAACTGTTGCCGTGTATACCAGTTTTCGATAACTATCACCCAAACTTGTAACAGACACATTGCACTTGTATCTAAAAGACGTTACTTGTATCCAACGATGTAAAAAACTGAGTTGTTTATATCGTTGCTTGTATCATGAAAGATGTAAGGATCACATTTGATTTACAATCCTAATAGATCTACAGGTTCTTATTGTCACCAATCGTATTTATTATGTAGGTAGTGTTTACAAACCTGTTACATAATACGTATTACCTATTAATTTCAACAGGTACCTTACTGGTACCTGTTACAAGTAATATAACCACAACAAATACAAGTTAATAACGTTACGAGACTCACCCATGGTATCTTGCCTCATTCCTGACATGTTGGCGGCTCCGTGGCTCATTGTAAAGGGTTGCGTCATGCTGGGGTACGAGCTGGAACCCATCTGAAAATAATATGTCTAAAATAATAACACTAAACATGTTATATCGTCTGCCAAAGCATGAGACATTTGAAACTCGTTTTGTCAAGAACGGCACTACCGTTGGCCTCCTTCCATCCTATAAGTGGTTTAAAATGCCTTTAACATCGGTAATCCAATTTTTAAGATTAGCCAATTAATCATTAGTATCCAAAACGTGTTAATGCTGTTTTAATTAATCAAAATATTTACAACGCAAAGGTTTTATTTTAATCCTGTAGACCTGCTAAAACACGATAACTCAGTGCAAATAATTATAGCTCGTTTCTGGATCTAGAACAGACTTTTTGGGGGAAATTAAACATGGCTTTCGGATTAGAAATGAAACATTTTAATCTGCTACCAAGTCAGTCCATATACTTAAGATGCTAAGATACTGACATACAATCTGGTAATTGGCATTGGTCATATACACAACGTTCTTCGACAGGTTTTGACAATTGGTGTCGTAGAATACAGTTTATGCAGAGAAGTATCCACTAAATTTGACAAAAATATGGCCATCTGTTCTTAAATTGTACACGAATCGTCCTATAAAAACCCCGTGACACATTGAATAATTGTTCAAGCGTATATTGTCTTACCTGAGGGTATCTGTTCATCGTGTTGGGGTGCGGGTAAGGTTGGTAGCCCCTGCTAGCCGTAGGGTAGATGTTCCTCATCATAGCGCCGTTGCAAGTTGGTAACACTGAGGGTGCGAGGGCTTTCTGCAGTTGCTTCTCTTGCTTCCGATACTTCGCCCGCCGATTCTGGAACCATACCTGTCAAAATAGCGGGAATGGATTAGTTTAGTTTCCGCAATGATCTGTTTGATCTTACATTTACATAGTTTTGTTAGCGAAAAAATAACTGAGGCGAGAAATAATAGAGAAGTTTCAGAAGTTGATTCAGATATATCGTGCTGAGGCAAATTTCAATGTAACCCTTATGGGCCCGTGCTTTACAAAGCTATCTAAAACTATTGCCTTTCTATACTTCAGGATGCCTTCTCATCCTATTGTAAAACCTGTATCTGTCCTCTGCCGTTTGTTTTTATGCCCGATAACGTTTGAATGTGCCGCTGTCGACTAACCGTTTCTATTTTACTTTATACGGCAATCTAATCTGTGTCCTTTATTTTTTGTTACCATACCAGAAGATATAGAGCGCAACGGGTAAATGTTGAAAATCATAAAATATAAATGACATACGCCTCCATTAGTATTGTCCATTTGCATAATCAACCCCAAAGAGTTCTCTAGAGCTAGAAAATATTGCAAACAATAGTACAACGTCACACAACGCTAAGTAATGATCTCCTCTTAATAGCTTCCTCATGGAAGCTCCTCTTTATAATGATAAAATAAATTTCTGAGTTTTAATTAATGAGCTCAGATTTAGCATTGACAGGTGATATCTTTATTGAGATATTAGTTGTAAAGCTTTTACAATTTGAATAATCACTGGCGGCAGGTTTAGCGGTCACATAGTTTGCCATTAGGTAAAATCAAGGCTATGATGTATCTTGAAAAAAAAAAATAACTACCAACATTAGATCAACTTTTTTGTGTTAAAACTGTGAGTGCCTTCAATCTTGTACGTATGCAATGCCCACACAACTCAGCTGTACCTATATTGAGGTTCCGCGCCGTTGTGTTTTTTAATTTCAGGATTTGTTTCAGACCTCCCGCTAACCTCAAGTAAAGTCGGTGCTTGTATCAAAGCGGGTGTTTGTATGTAAATACGCGGCGTTTTAATCGCGTTGTGGCGCATCCGCTTGCCTCATTAGGGTCAAAGGCTTGCATATCATTAGCTCCAGACGCTCTTTAGCATTCCTTGTGTACAATTAGTGTCTTGTACCACGTTACAGTGGTGTTTGTACAGCTGTGTTGCCGGTTGATTGAGTGCAAAGTAGAACTTTACATATTTGAGAAAGTGTGGAAAATTATTTATTGCTGCTAGTTTCAACCGTGCTTAGCAGTGCGGTCTGAATTTTGAATTGAAACATTTAAAATAATGCAAAGAACAGCTAGTATTTCGGACTTAATTTTGAATTTGAAGTAATATCTTTCTTTAATACTTTCTTATTAAATGGTGACCATACAAAGTAGGTTTTTTAAGCCAAGTATGAATGGAGATGAGTGTAGGATGAGTGGCGCGATCTTGTAGTCTTTTTAGTGACTAAGGCCGTCATTCCTTAGACACAGCTGTTAATTAATAGCCCATACGGCTAATGGCAACTAAGAGACCTACAGTTTATAGTGGAATCCAAACCACATTTTTGCCTTGGTATATACGAATTGGTCTAATTATCAGGAAAGTACAGCGGATAGTCGTAGTACTCACTCGTGCGGACGTTAATCCACACCATGGAGTATCGGATCCACAGTGCATACCTATGAACATCCACAATTCGTGACCTCCTAGTAGCTGGATTACAGGACGACGCCACCCGTAGTAGTTTCTTTATAAACAATCTGCTTTGTCATAGTATTTTTCTAATGGGCCTATTATTATGAAAGATGAAAATAGTACATAGTTACGATTTAAAATATTTGATGGAATTATTTGTTAGCTCTACTGTAGTATAAAGTCATAAGGATTTGAAAAGTAAGAAAACATGTTAATGGAAATGGCAAACGTTTTAGTAATTATTTAGTTGATAAAATCAATATATTTTTGAAGTATCAGAATTCCACTTCAGAACTTTGAACGACTGACACAAAGATCCAAGACATTATATGCAATCGGCAATATGCCATCTCCATCCTACTATCTATCTTTGTGCGAATATTTTCCGTTATTATAAACAGTAGGATGAATTGTGAACCTAATGGTAAAATCACTATATCCTTTTATGGGTTCAAAATCAATCGCATGAAATATTTGGCTCTAAGACATCTACGGAAGTTATTTATACATCTAAAATTTCTTTTTTATATGTTTCAAATTCTGCTGAAATGCGGTTGAATAATTATCTTTCCAAGACGCTTGATGCCTACGTGTAAGGTTAAATCGGTGGTTTCCAAATTATTATTTTACTTAGCTCATACAAGTTACTAATGTTTAAAACTGCCCATAAATCTTGCTAACAAAACATTATTAATTCCCAAACGTTGCAACTTACGATTTTCAAGAGCACGACACATTTTGACATACAGCGAGTGGTTAAATTGAAGCAAGTTGTTTCCGTGTTAAATGTTTTGTAACGGCTTATGGCGGGGGGGGGGGGGGGGGGTTGAGTAGCTAATGTACCATTAGTGGCACTCCGTTTTAATTGGCACTTTAAAGTGCTGAGACTAAGACGGGAACGGAGCACTTAAACAACTTGACAACCGGGGAGCTTTCTAGGGACGCTTGCCATAACTTTATGGTTAGCTAGTCGCGGATGTGGTACAACTACTAATAGCGGGAGAAAAAGTATGTGTTTGATATCAAACTTTTTATAAACAACCGTTATTGCAGTAAAAACGTTGTAAAATGCATTGGATTGCGTTCAGCGTATGTATCTTTATTGTGTAAGTGTTTATCCATTAATACATGTTTCAAGAAGAAATAAGCTATACAAGATTTTTAGTAAATAAAGTATTGATAAGTCTTGGATAAATAGCAAGGACAGGCAAAGTTTTTAAAACAATACAAAAATGAGTTATTGGCAGAGCTTTGAAAAAGAAATACTGCGTTTCTATTACGATATTTTTGTAAAAAACATCATTAGAGGGTTAACGAACAAGTTTATCGCTTAAAACGTCAACAGTCTGTGATTAGTACATACAATAGATAGAAAATGTTATGCCTATGCTCAAATGTATTTACATATTTCTATACGATGAGTAATATAATTGATTTTAGCTATTGAGGTAGAAGTGCTATTACTATTAGTATTATTGTACCACCTTTAATCCAACATTTTACTATAAGAAAAAACAATTCAATGAGCCTCTTATAAGAGTACTTAATAAAGTAAACTACTTTATATTCCTATGTAATTCCTCAGTATAGGCCTACTCTACCGGTGTTTCAGTTTTATTATTTTTCTCATTCTGAAACCAGCAACACCTCTGAGATTGGATTGTTATATTAAACTTTAGTAAATCCGTACTCATGCTATTTCCACATTGATTCTGTGATAATGGTAATTGTTGGTAAATAAAAATAAATGCTGTCAAATGCGTGAAACCAAAAATAAAAATTCATGTTTCTGAACCACTTTGTGAAGACAAAAACAGCGTTTACTACACCTCCTTCAAATAGTCCAACGATTAATCAATTGAATCAGCTTACGTAGTACAAAAGAAACATTTATGCTTGTAACTTCATCAACACATATTTAAAATACGCGAAACACAAACATAAATACGAAACGTACAAATGAACATTTAAATATCGGTATCATGTCCGGCACGACGTGGACTCGGTACAGTAGTATTTTTATGTCTGGGTTGTTTGTGTTTTAAATATGTAGAGAAATTAATTATATTATCGTTATACTTATGTTTTCTTGTTTTCTATTGGTATTTATCACTACTTATGCACTTGATGCACAGTAAGTTCTGTATTTTCCATGTAAAAATTGTGAATCCCATTCTTGATAAATAAATGCGTTGACGAAGCTGCAAGCTTTAAAAATTATTGCTTTCGTAAACAAACGTGTAAGCGTTACGATTCAACGGAGGTATAGTTAAAGTTTTTGTCAAAACTAATAACTCCAAATCAATAACGCCAAACAGAGATCGAGCACAGCAGAAAGCTAATAGATCGTCTCGTGTTGTCGAACGCTCCGTTTTCAATTATCAGTTTTTAACGAGACGACTATGATAACAGGAGGGGCATGAGGGGAACTCGAAGGGGGGATAAGCCTCGAGCGAGGGTGGAAAAGGGGAGGGGGAGCAAAAATGGCGTCGGTGGGGATGGCCGCCATTATTGAAGCTCGATGTGTGTTGGGTAATTAGTTTGTGCCCGGGCAAGAGTAAACACTCGACAACCTAGTTAACCTAAACACATGATTTAGCTGGTAGCATATAATGAATTCGTTTTCCCGGTGAAGGGGTCAGATGCAGTTACACGCGTTTAGATAGTAAAGTTGAGTGAGATATCGCTTTCAACCATTTAAAGTGGGTTTACACAGTTTTTGATAGTTGTAAATTAAAATAGGATGAGTTTCTATATTTATAATTCGGCCGCTTAGAAAACGACCTGCGCGCTAATGCTAAACCAATGCTGAAGGAGGTCGCTTTCTAAGCGGCCGAACTATAGTTATGGAAATGCTAACCATTGTAAGGGTAGGTTTGCGGTTGTGTTATTTAAGCTGTGGGTTTTGTTTTTAACATAAAAAATATTTTTGATGTTTACGTTACATCAAAAAGTGCTGCATTAGTCCTAATCCGTTAACTGAAAATAACGATTTTCATTTTAATTTAATCCAGCAGCACAGTGGATTTAAGTGCAAAAAACTAAAGAAATATTTCATTGGTGGTAGTTTTCATGAACAAAGTTCTTCTTTGCTAAAAACCCTAAATTCATTTAAGGATGACCTTATTTTTAAGAAGATTTAAGATTTAAGAACATCCTTATCACCCAATTACTATATCACTGCTTTGTCACATACGATAGCTTAAAACCGTAGATTATTGGAGGTATTAAATATGAAGCTGAACCTCCGTAAAAGTCCTTAGTACTGTAACTATTTTTTGCGATTTTGTATTCACATGGCTATTGAAAATCTTCCAATATTTGTATATTTTTACTCACGGATATATGTATTGCTCACCACATTCATAAG